TCGATGAGGATCTTTAGATCACTCGTTCCGCCACCTTCTCGAGCCTTAACATTATCATACATACTATTGATCGTTTCACAGAAACGAACCCGAAGGTCATAGTCGGGAATAAAATCATCGACAAAGTAATTCAAGATCCAATGTCGGAGCGCTGCAAACGTGCGGATACGAATGATTCTCCCATCGTCTTGCAGGCGGTTGATTGCCCACTGCAGTCGTGCAAGCAGGAGAGCAAGGAGAGAGCTGGCGGAGAGATAGGAACGAAAGGTAAGGAAGAAATCCGAGACCAATTCATAATCCATGAAAGATTCGGACGATATCTGCGCGACGATGCGGGCCGGGGTAGCAGCGCTGATGTCCTTGGTACGAGGAACATACCGAACTACCCTACCATCATCCATCTTCGAAACCAAATTCTCGAAAATGGACGGCTCAATGGGCTCCTTTAGCTCGTAGAGAATTGGTTTGTCGGTGGCAGTAGAGCCCCGGGTTAACTCTATGGCAGGTGTTCCCGAGAACATCGAGGCGGCAAAGGACGGCCTATCTGGTTGGCTAAGATAAACATCAGAGATCGGACCAGGGTTCAAACTTTCCCGCAAGAAGCGCGCGGCGAGAAAGTTGTCGGATACTGAGGCCCTCGAGTATATAGAGTTGTACAGGGGAGTACTTCCATTGGCACCATAATGGGAAAAGTCCCAGCCGTAATGAGGTATTGAAGTACCCGGGTTTGGGCATAAAGATCCATCTGCAGACTTGGGTCGGTCCTCTGATCGATCAATGAAAATACGGAATTCCCCGTTGGCTCCTGCACGAAAGGTTGATCCCTGCTCCGAGATTGTTGAAAAGGAGCGCGCTCTGGGACGTGGACGACGGAGGGAATGATATGGTCCAGATCGCGTCGATTCTGTTTTGATCGACTGACCGTCGTCGCACGTTTCTTCAGGTATGAGTTCCGGGCGCAGCTCCGAGAGCTGCGAGTTGGACCACCGCGAAGGTTCGTCCACTCTATGACCATCGAGTCCGCGCGAGTGGACGTGCCCGTCTTTGGATTGGTCGTCGGACGGAGCAAAGGGCTGTGGACGAGGTTCCTTGAGAGACTGGTTACGAATCGGTCTAATAGGTAAGCGCACTAATTAGTTTTCTGTTCAGTCTGTAACACCCGTCGCACGGATCCTGGCGAATTACAACCTGGCCTTACCTCAGGAAAATCTTTCCATTCTGACCAACATTTCCAACCGTGAAATGGTTCGGTTCTCTCGCTGCTGCAGGCGTATCGCGTGGAGAGGCCGGGGCGTCGAGTCGTTTGGAGGAACGCTTCCGAAGTAATTCATGACTGTCCTTCACTCGTAGAAACGAGGTTGCTATTCTCTCCCTTGCTGTCTTCGAGCCCAGTTTTATTTTCTCTCCCACATTGTTTCCCTGTGCCACTGTGTGGGCGCGTCGCAAAGTGCATGTCGCATTCTTGTCCTCGGGACTGCTCTGCGTATTCGAACCGAAGTTACGTTCGAGTAAAGCTGTTATCGATTTGCCTTGAGCATGACCAGGTTTCCCACCGGGCGACTCAACGAGCGACGTATTCGGCTCCATGTTGGATAAGGGAGTGTACCCAGCAAACGCCTCCTCTCACCAAGGACCAGGAGAGGGTCCCTCCCTTTACGGATAGCAAAAATAGAACCTTTCATCCACCGAGTCGAAAAATTCTAGATAGTATAAGAGAGCATTAACAGCCTCAGCCGGGATCGCAGTCCGTTCTTGTGACACGACATGACCAGACTCAGTACGATTGGAAAGATCAAACGTTCGTGTAAATGCGACGGAACATGGAGATTTTCTTTTCTTTCTTTGCTATGTCGTAGGGAAGATGGTGGTAGATATTCGGGAAACAACCAGAAAAAGAAAATCGTAGGTACAGTGAAGAGGGAGCAATAATATCAATAGAAAAAGTACCAGTAAGAACAACGTAAACAGTGATCATTAAAAAAAGAACGGGATGAAAAGAGTGGAGGAGGAGCGGCACGGTGGAGTTGGAGAAAGAGGAAAAAGAGGCCTAAAGGTACAGATTTAGTGGCCACTAACCAGTGAAAAACTACTGTACTCCGTACTAAAAAGAGTTCCAACAGAGCGGAACCATCCACTGCAGCCGAGAGGAACCATCCAGCAAGTAGTCTTGTTGGGAAACTTGGTACAATACACTGAAGAAGCCCCAAAAGGACTGTTTGTTCTCTTTTTTTTTTTTTTGCCCTTCCTCTTTTATGTTGTTTTGAAATATTTCCTTCTTTCTTTCCCTTTTTTTTTTTTTTCTAATTTACCGGCGAGGCAAGGCACTTCAAGGAATTTCGGCGCATTCTGCGGAGGATCTGATAGTCAAAGTATATTTCCTGAAAGCAAGTATGTTCACTCGGTACTAACGAGAGGGGAGTCCCTCTTTCGAGGGATTGCAGATATTAAGTCACCCACTTGGCTTCACCCTCTGATGATGATCTTAGCCATACCAAGTGCGGAGTACTCGTGAACTACTGAATTGCCTACTAGTAGTTCTCTTCTAAAAGTCGGTCAGCTGAGAAGTGTTGATCAACCAAATTCCAGATCGTGGGACGACCTCGCCCCAGCAAATCGTAACCGCGGTACTACTCGTTAGGATACTAAGTAGCCGTGAGACGACGACGCGTCTATCTCTGAGCAAAGGCTGTCATGCCATACACTCGACTTCTTATCGACTTTCTATACCTACTGCTAGTTGAAGTAAGAGTTCCTCGGGTGTGAGTGGTACTATCTATTACATGATAATAAATGGTTTCATAGAATTAGACTCGTCATCGGCGCGCCCTCAGGCCCGACTCAAAAGAATCGATCGGACCCAAATTTATCTACCTATTCTACAATGCTGACGATGCTCGTACATTGAAACTATCGACACACCTCGATCTGTCAATTCAGACTTTCTGTGGTCGGCTTACCGATAGTTGATGTCTACTTCAATAGCCCGCGAGGTAGCATCGAATAGCCCGTCAGAAATACTACCTTACGGAGCTAAAATAGAACGAAGAAAAAAGAAAGGAAAAGAGCTCCATGATTGGACCCAATACCTTGGGAATATTAGAGCTTTTTTTACTTTTTTTTTTTCTCTTTACGTATCATATTTCTTTTCCTTCCCTTCTGGTGTTAATAAGGGCTAGTCCGCGAGGTGCAGTCTCCAACCTCGGAATTTAGGGACAGTAAGTAATGTGGAGCCTCTTGAAAATTGGGAATTTGGGCACATCGAATGATCAGCCCATTTCCAACATCCTAGATATTACCCAACATTATTTATTAATACCCCTTAGATCCCAACAACTGCACCGGGTTTAAAGGAAAGGGGAGAGAGGAAATAAAAGGAGATATTCTCCTCGGCTACAATAGAAGGCAAAAGGGGATTTTTTTTTTTTTTTTTTTAAAAAAAAAAAAGGGGGGGGAGGTGGTTAGAAGGAAAAATGAAAAGAGAAAAGATCATAAATAATAATAATGATAACCAGCATGAAATCATATTGGCCAATCCGTCCAAGCTTCGTGCAGTCAACTTACATTAGCACTTGCGTTGGTCGGGGTATTCGGAAGCCGTTAGGTGCCAATAGCAAGGAGAGATCAGGACCCCAAAATGACAGGAGTTTTACCAGCCTCGGGAATGACGCCGTCTATCAACTCTGGACTATCATTCTTCCGGTTAGCCTGTTGACCGTTGTGGCGGGTCCGAGGCCGATCGTCCCTTAGCGTCCAGTATTTAAGGGATGGAATGATTCCACAACCAGGCGAGGGTAGTTTTTCTAAAGAAAGATATTTTTTTTTTTAAAAAAAAAAAAAAAAACCCTGCAAAGAAAACAAGAAAGGAAAACAGGAAAAAAAAAATCATGTCTCCTATTCAGGCAGCTAGACCTCTAGAACTTTCTATTCTTAGAAAAGGAGATGGATAGATCTACGGAGTATAATGGGCGGGACCCTCTATATGAGAGTGTACGTACCTTTGTACAGTACCAAATACCCGTTCGGTTCATTGATTAGGGAACTACGTCTCAAAAAGCAAAAGAGAAAAATTAATAATTCTCAAAAGAATGATCGTTAAAGTAGAAGGCAACCCCAACAGATGACAAAGAGAACTAACCGCAAACTGACCTTTGATCATTAGGGCTTAGACTGCCAAAATTTGGATGTTAGGCGCCGAAGCCTTGCAGTACCTACTAAAGTGTATCAATATACCCAATTCGGTTGGACGTTTAGAGAGTGATTTACCCCAATTAGGGGCCACGAGAAGCTATCCAAGATGCATAAAGGAAGGCGGCGAATAGGGTGAAGTTCGGATCAGGGAAAGTTGATGGGTCAAAAGTCAGAACCCACCTCCCAGTCGTTCCGTTAGTGCGTAGTCTGTAGTGAGTTAACTATCTGCATGCATACTGCATCACGATAGAGTATATACTTCAACTTCTTGCTCATATGATCAGAAGAAACGTGAGCTATACTCCGTACTTTTGTGAATTCGGGACGGTGTGAGAAAAGTAGCTATCTGATCTTCGATCCGAAACCTTAAGAAGCCAATATAAGCCGGTCAACTCAACGCTAGGCCTTTTCTTACAGTATGTGGGGATTCTCTCAAGTCGACTACTGTCTCATGTCAAACTCTGTTGGCCTTGAACAAGGAAGTGCTCTTTTGCCCGTGTTTAGGCAGCCTACCAGCAAGGCAATTGACCTGTCCCGAGCACATATCTCGCAAAGATATATTTTAGGGGCGGTACGAAGAAAAGCGCGGTGGCTATCAGTAGTATTACACAGCAAGGCAAATGGTGCAACCACGGCTAGTTATAAGCCTACCTGGTAGGACCCCAGATGTTTTCGGTGAAATCAGCCCGTAAATAAAGCTTGTGACCCATACTTTACGCGTAGATAGAATTGCAAAATAAATCAATAATTACTCCCACAAAATTGCGCCATTCATTGATGGATAATGGAGTCCACTACTTCGTCCTTCTCGGCTACCAGAGCTTGCAGACGGGCTTCTTCGTCGGGCAGTTAAACGCTTCCTTGAATTCTCGAGAGTTTTCCATCGTTCCCTGTGGTGATCGTAAGCTGCGCTGCTTTCGTGAGATGTTCCATTTGATCACAAAAGCTGATTCAAGACTGAAGAAGCAAAAAGAAAACCATAGCACTCACAATAATCCTTGCTGGTTTGGGGGCATGTGGGTCGCTGTAGATAGCCTTTCGAGCGGCTTCTGCAGTAGTCTTACTACACCACCAGTTGGCATATGAAATGAAGAAGAGCTGCTCCTTGGTAAACTTCGAAAGACCAGGTAGCTGAGAATCCGGGGAGACCTGCTCATGCTTTTTCCAAGCGTGATATGCCGCACCAATGCCTCCAGCATCCGCGATATTCTCACCAAGGGTAAGACGTCCGTTGACGTGAAGGGGCTCTGAATCCTGTTCAGGAGCGGTGAATTCCGAGTACTGGTCGACGAAACACTGGGCTCGTTCTTCGAACGCGTCGACCGTCTTGTCATCCCACCAATCAGTATAGTTTCCAGTCTCGTCGTAGTGTCTACCCGTCGAATCAAATGCTATTGCAGCAATGTAAGTCAATACGTCCCTCAGTAGCCCCAACTTTAACATGTTGTCTCGCGACTTACCATGTGATAGCTCATGTCCACTGACAGCTCCAAACGCTCCATAAGCCAGGTATAAAGGAGCAGACGGCCCGTAAAATGCTGGTGGTTGCATAATCCCGGCAGGGAAAACGATCTCATTGCCAGGAGGGTTGTAATATGCATTTACAGTGGGCGCAGTCATGCTCCATTCATTTTTATCTGTCGGCTTTCCTAGCTTCGACCATTCATTGTGTAGGTCAAACTTTGCGGCGGCAACTGTATTCTCGAAGAAAGTTTCGTTGGATACCTTCAGGTGCTGATAGTATTTCTCCACGTCTGCTGGATCCATCACATTAGGGCTTTTCGTGGGATAGCCAATCTTCTGAACAATATTCCCAACTTTCTTGATCGCCAGATCTCTCACTTCGGAGGGCATCCAGCTTGTCTGACGTAAGGTATACACGAAACGCTCCTTGATGTCTGACACTATCTGATCACCAAGTTCCTTTGACGCTTCCGAGAATGAATCGAGAACGTAAAATCGGCTCAATGTCCAGCCAAGGTTATCGTCCAGGGACTTAATGCATTTTCGCCATCTTTCTTCTGTGGCCTGCGGGTCCTTTCCTGCAAGCCTATTGTTAAATTCACGAAGAGGCTGGGTTTTCGCGTCTTCTATTTCATCTGCGTAGGTCTGTATAATTTTCCAGTTGAAATAAAGATTAATAACCTCCCTTGGGGTATCGCTTAAAATGGATGATAATGCTTCCATATAGGACGGAGAGCCCACTATCAAGCGGTCACCTCTATAGCCCGATGGTGCCAGAGCTGATATTATGTCTGACATGGAGATCTGTGGGAGGAGAGATTGTGTCTCCTCAATGGTCCGCGGGTTATAGGACTTGGTCACATCTTCTTGACTTTGTGTGTCCGGGGTAATATCTGCTATTTTTGCTTCGAAAGCAACGACGTCACGCAGGTGGTACTTTGTCCCGCTACCAGCGGTAAATTCTCCAAGCACGTTCTCCACTACTGTAGTGTATTCTTTGACAGTTTCCGTATTGTTATAGTATTCCCTTGCTGGAAGTCCGATTTCACCAAGGGGATTCACAAATATTGCGACCGAGTCCGGGTCACGATCGTCAGACTATAAATTTAAGGCAGGTTCAAAGTCAAAAAGGAGCGTGGATTACTCACAGCAACAAACGGGGATACCAGGGCCTCGACACCGGATTCCATGAGGTAGAGTATTGCTTTTGTTAGGTCGGTATTCGATCCTCTAAGAGAGGTTGAATCTCGGCTATATATCTTCTCGAACTCGGCCAGCATATTATCAAGCGGTTTGCTTCCCCACTTAGTGACTGTCGTCTCGTCCATACAGGCAGTGTATGCTGCCTTCAATTTCTCAAAATTGTTTGAATCAGCCGGCTCCGAAGGTTTTGAGGAGCTAAGCAAGTGGCGAAGGCGCGTCTGCGCAGTTTCACTCATCATAGTTCCAGCAAATATGGCACCCTGGTCAGGGCGCATGTCATGCCGTTCTCTCCACCCCCCGCAGACATACTGATCGAAATCGGTGCAGGGATTAATTTGATCATAATTCGGGTCAAGGTTATAGAGAATCTCAGATGCGGCGTGTACACATTCGGGGCTCTCGCAAATCGAAGTTGTCACAGGACGCGGAGGAACGCTTTCAGATGGTCCGTCTGATACAACCAGCCACTAGGTCAGAGAAAGTAAGGAATATGGCAAGGGTAACGGTGACGTACTAGGAATTATAAACCAAAAATAATAAGAGACTGAAATAAATGACAGAATTGCAAATATTGTACAGCGGGCGAGTGAGAACCATGATGCATTGTTCCTCACATGGCCCTCCCGAAGCTCTCCAATATGGGTTTCGGCATCTTCGGAATATCCAAGAAACGATCGACTTTTCTCAAGCTCTGGAGTCGAAACGTCTCGCAAGAGGGAGGCACTTTCAAGCTCCTCATCGCTGGTACATGCATGATAAGCATCCTGCCGCTGTCTAACGAGATGATTGACTGCTTACCTTTTAAGGGGGGAGCTGGGCATGCTGTCCTGCAGGCCGCGCATCTCACCTTTCACACGGGGCACAATCACATTCAATGATATAAGATAATGAAGATCCCACTAGTTCGCAATATATTTTCGTATAAATGCCTAGCCTGGCACCATCGAGAAGCAATCAAAATGAAGGAGATAAATTAGGAGGCATGGTTGTTGTTTCACATCCATTGATGGCGTCACATGTTTATCATTGATGAGTCAGCTTTTTATCCTACGTTCAAAAATGCCGACACTTAGGTGTTAATTTATGTTTGCTTCGCTGGACATCACGAAAAAAACAAAGAACATTCACCGTTAAGAAAAAAAAAGAAGAAGAAGAAGAAGAAAGAAAGAAAGAAAGAAAATTTCAAGTGAACCCCATCTAGTACGATTGACGCGATCTCAAAGAACAGTTTTCCGAATGTGCCTCACCTACTTGACTTCAACACAGATACTTTTTTAATTGGATAAAACGAGCGCCCCACAACTCCTTTTAAGCTTATGTCAAATTGGCTCAACAAAGAAGGCATTAACTCGAGTTTGCCAGGCTTTCTTACTATAAATGTTGCATGTCCTATAGTACCTAAAGATGGTTTATGACAGGAGCTGTCTAGCTAACAATTGAATGAATACACCAATTTGGGCATGACAACCTCGGAAATGAGCGCATCGGCGTCATCACAGCTCGCCATGCCAATCAAGACGTATACACAGTACGAATCCCTGACCAAATCTGGTCGGTCTTTTACAGTGTCTAAGATACACCCTGATGTATCATAACGCCAAGGCTAACAAACATCGTTTTCCAACGTCAGTGAGAAAGCATGGCTTTGCTAAGAATTCCAGTCCCCACTTAGATATGATGTATTCTGTAGGGCTGCTCGGTGCCGGGTGAGGGCATATATATATGACAACGCACCTTTTCAACCTCGCGAGTAGTAAAATATAGTACGATTATGATATAAATGTAGATACTAATAACTAATAACTTACCATGAGAACATAAGGCAATCATATCCCGGATTTAGTTGGGTGTTTGTGCTTGTACTCCAGTTCAAATACGAACAGCTCCGCAACCAGGCGGAAATGCCTCGCACAATGTTCGGGATATGGGGCATTGAAAACGGTATATTTACCAATGAAATAATGAAGAACGGCTCCGTGGAGAAGACGAGATCATTGGGATTGGTTAGAGACAAAAAAAAATTGGTAAAGCGACTGGTCTAGAATGATACCCAACATTATTGGCCTTGTTTCCTATCTCCGTAGCGGTAAATGATCTACGGAGCATGAATTCTTCAGTAAAGTAGAACAGTTATTTTCTTTTTTTTCTTCTTTTTTTTTCTGTTTCACTGATTTTCTTCTTCAATTTTCTGGAGCATTCTAGAGTCATTACTTATTGTGAGGAGTACTAGTACTGATGTTGACATTTGCAGTGGTATATGTCAGATTGTCTAAATACCAATCAGCAATGGATACAAATCTATCATATAGATGAGACATGGCGACTAGCCAAATAACCTTGTTTTGGCTTTCTTCCCGGCGTTCCGCTGTAGAAGGGAGAATGTATCAACTAGGATTCACCCAAGTCGCTAAAGGTTGGGGAAACAGTGGACCTATAGTAGCTGAACATATTGCCTTGGCTCGTGAGCGGAAGAAGCCACGCGAGAATTTAGACCCAACTCTAACCGGGCCAGCCACCAATCCGTAAGAATATCAAACGAAACTAATTACCGGCAGGCGTGGACTGCCGTTTCTAGAACTCTCCCGACTGGGATGAAAGGGACTAGGGTTTAAGACGATATTGGAGTCTGAGCGCTTCCACTGCCACGCGAGACACACAGAATTATGATCCATCATGTGTTTGCAGTACATATCGTATACCTTCTGACAGGTGTGCCCTGTCGAGAGGGTTGCCTTGGAAGTTGGAAGTCAATAACATTGGCGGCGACGGCATGGCATGGATCAGGGTCATGAAAACTTAGTGAAAGCACTCCGCCTGGGCTGTGGGGCTGCGAAAGTGAAACATGTCATGGACGAGGATCATTTGCTCCTTTAGGCAATAAAGAACACATGGCTTGGGGGGAATCATGTCATGTTCTTCAGTTTTAGTTACACATCCAAGACAATTGGCAAGAGCCAGTGGCAATGAACTTAACCTGTCGAATATGGGCTTGGGAGGCCTCAAACTTGCAGAAGATGTGCTAGATTGAGCTAATATGAATGCAGGAGAGATCAGTATCACCCCATGCCTCAAGGCCTACATAGTGTACTAGGTAAGCACCGTTTCTTATGTATGTACGTTCCTCCATTTGCGGGGGAGAGAAGGGGAAGAAATGAAATGAAAGACTAGGAGGCCAGGTCAAACTGCATGCCACTGGAGAGCTTTTAGTGTTGACCTCTAAACTATGAATCGACTCGAGTGAACGCTGAGATAAGCTTTATGCATAGGCATAGTGTAATAGTATTCGAATAAACATCTAATATGTATATTGGATTTCCTCCATTGTCATGCCTGCTAGAGCATCAGGCATATGATGTTTAGTGATAACCCGTTGTCCTATTGTCAACTGAGCACAGGCATAAGAAGTGCTGCAGAATGTAGCCCACATAAATTCACCCTTGTCACAAGTTCCCGTCGTGGCTGCTGACCCCGTAAGGTTACTTAATTCGTACAATGTACTCTGTACGGAGTACCGTAACCAATGAACTATTAGTAATCCAGACATGATTTGAACTCGAGATCACGGAATACTCAAAGAATCAAAAAGAAAGAAAAATGAGTGTGTGAGACAAAAAAAAATATATATATATAAATTCAAAAGGGTAGCAAAACAAGAATAGACATCAATACATTAACGACTATTAATATGATCCATCAAACGAGATCCCGCGGACATGTCTGCAACGCATGGCATTGTTTACCTGTTCGAGATGAGCTCAGTCATTGTTTGCTCGGGACTCGTAAAGATTGTGATGGATGGAATGGGTCCTGGCGGCCGGACCTTGACTGCCCCCCCTGCCTTAGTGTCGGAGCGGCGGCCCTGTTCGTCGTAAAGCTGAAACCGGAAGAATGAAATCCGACGCACCGGATGACCCACAAGCGGATTTCAAGGAGTTCTGGGGGGGTTTTTCTTTTTTTTCGTGGTTGTCCCCCCAGGGGGTCTTTCGGGGAGGAGGTATTGCTTCTTTTATGTATTTCTTATTTTATATGTCTGAAACTTTGAATATCATCGTCTACCAAACTTTTCATTGCTGTAGGGCACAGATCTTGGAATAAAGTTTGCGATTCGAACAATAGACTTTCCATGGTTTCTTCAGGTGAGAGGACCATCCGTCGGGTGATGATTTTAGGGGGGAAGGGGGGCGCCGGTACTACTAGTAAGTGATACCACAGAGCAGGTGTTGGTCCCTACTACCATGGGCCTGGGACCACCCGCATGACTCGACAAGAGAGTGCTGTGTGTACCATCGTCGTAAGGTAGACAATGATCACTATGTCTTTCACCAATAATACCAAGGTTTATAGGATGATCATTACGGTGTTCGAGTATTATTGGCAGTCCTTGTTGAGATTCGTGACTTTCTTTTTCTTTGCCCCTCTTTTCCATCTGCTCCGTATGTTCTATAATTTACGGCGATTGTTCCTGTTTATATATTGTATGGGGCGATCTTGCCATATAATTAATTAACTGGGTTACGCTTTGAGCACTGGTTATAAGCGAGGTGGATGAAGTTTTAGGTTCAAACTCCAGAAATCTTCCAAACAGTCATACGAATCATTCCTGATCAATTTTATTATTCTGATCTATCGGGAACTGATTTACGAGCTCATTTCTTTTCAGCCCCATATTTCCCTTCCTCAATATCCTCGGCAAAAAGATCCAAAATACGAATGTCAGGAAATTCAAATACCACAACCTGAGTGAATAGGAATGAAATATCACATCAATAGTGCTGGGTACTAGTGAGGGTTCTTATCAGCCGTAATAGAATCGGCGAAGAAGCAGCCCTTGTTATTCTAGCAAACATCTGTCGATCCGTGCGTCGCATCCGTACCTCGTGGCAATGTTCGGTTGCAGGTTCTGGCAGGACGAGGGGGGACGAGTGGAGTGGGAACCAGTGGAAATTTTGGATCGGAGACTCCGGCTAGGCTCCGGAGTATGTGCATTGTACATTGTAGGAGGGACAGAGTTAACGTCGTAACCAACATGCCGGCTGAGATTTTAGGGATGAAACCTTAGGTAATCATCATGCAATACACCATATCAAGTTATGTACGGAGTATGTTCGAACGTACTGTACAGGACAGGAATTCAAGTATTGGGAGGACTATTTCAATACTACTACTACTAGTAAAAGGATATGTCCAGGATTCAGAACTTAGTTTATGGTTAGTGATACATTCAAGAAGGAGGGGAGGGGGGAAACAAAGTGCCGACAGGGTAATACGTAGGTATTTATTTACAAGGTAGATAGTAGTAGCTGCATACTCTGTACCTACAAGGCAGTTAGCGACCGAGTTTGAGGCTAAGGAATCGTCCAAGGGTGGAACACTTTAAATTTTTTTTTTTTCGAAAGTCCCAGGAGAGTTAAGGTCTCACAATAGGTAAGCAGGCCGTATTTGTGAATTGGCTTTCTTTTCGAGTGAATTTGGGGACAGCCACTCACATGTTAATTTTGACTTTTACGTTATTTGATATTATCAATCCTAAAAATTATTATTATTATAGATATATTTTTATTTTATTTTTATTTTTTTTTGGTTTTCCCTCCCTATGTTGAAGCAAAATTCTCTTTGAAAGGCGAAGATGGCGCCTGGCTGGTACTAAAGGTAACAATGGGTTGTTATCCGCCGAGGCTAATGACACTAACTTTTGCTAAGAACGGAGATGCTGCGGATACTAAAGAATTAACGGACGACACATGCCACGCGCATCTCCTGCTGCTGGAGATCTAGCATTTACGGAGTACATTCTTGGTTCTAGTGCCAGGGCCACCCAACTCCAGAACCGAACTAACGAACTAACCAAAGTCCACTGCAGGACGATGACTCCAAAAGTACCTAAATGGACCTAGTTATCTTACCCGGGCGCTGTGAAAATGGGTCCCCCTCGTCCACTCCTTCTTGTCTCTTGCTCCGATCGGAATTGATTGAATATAACTAACAGATTGCGCGACATTACCACGGATACTACTCGTTCCCTACTGACACTGCTCCTGGTGTTCTCTTCCTTTCTCTCCCACCCACCCCCACCCCACTTGTGTCCCTTCTTCCCGCTCCCTGAATCGGTTTCTGTGGCACGGCAGCGATGTACCACTTGTGGCTATTAATCTTACTATATTGATATCCGGAGCCTTTTTTCTCTTTACTCTCCCCCTCTCTCCTCGTCGTCGCTTATCTACTGCTACTAACGTCCTCATCTTAGGTCAACGCCTCTAAGAGTCGTTGGCGCAATCAAAATCCCGCTTTGAGAGCGGTCGATCAACCACTACTGAATAGAACATTCCTTTGCGCTTTTTGACGTTCCCCATTTGGTTTCGGCAGACGTCGCATGAGCTCGTACCTCAACTCCCATCTTCGCAAACCTCCCCCGTTGAGCCTCCGGTTTGCCATCATAACCCAATTTTGACTGGGACTGAACTTTCTAGTGGCAACAATTCGCAGGACCCTCCTAATTCCATAATTTCTTTTTCGATTTTGCGCTTGGAGTTGGTCGTTGCCGTCACTGGGTAGCTGTGCTGCCTCTGGGATTCTCTCTCTAATTCATCCGGGGGTCATCTGCTGTCGGATAGCCTGGCTGTGGTTTTCAATATTATCACATTTGTCGAGCGGTTCTACAATCGCCTGGACTTCAACCGGCAGCTCATTCTGCCGTGACATCAGGGTGCTGTGTCGTACGAACGGAACTCCAGAATCCACCTCTCGAGTAACTGTTTCAGCTGGAGTTCTGACTTTCGCCCATTTGATCGCAAACAGAGGCACTTCCGTGTTTTCTTTTTGCATTTGTTTCGCTATTTAATTCCACCATCATAAAATAATACTATTATCACAACAAATCGGTTAGTTGCTCTCCCAGCGAAGATAGTCTGCCCACTCGTATTCTGTGTTGGTGGTCGTCGCATGTCTTAAAGGTCACCTTTTGAGTGGTCATGAGCATTTGTCAGGTGTGTCCCCTGATTCACCTGCTGCCATTGGACTTCGCCTGTTCCCCTCCCATGTGTACACCAATGCTCAAGTTCTTAAACTAATTGCCGCCTTCAGAGGTCGTGAAAAAGGTTCTCCTATAAGTGACAGAAAATCACAGGCAACATGGGTTGTATGAGCTCAAAGCCCGTTGACACAACGGACAAGGATGCTTTACAACGAAATGCTCGGATAGACAAGGTCCTGAAAAATGATAAAAAGGTGATGGATAGGACCATCAAAATTCTCCTTCTCGGTAAGTCTCTGGACAAATCTATTTCAGGGATTTGTATTGACAGACCTTAAGGTGCTGGCGAATCAGGGAAATCAACAATCATAAAACAAATGCGCATCATTCATTCCGGGGGGTTTCCTGACGATGAACGCCGTCAAACGCGTGCAGTAATCTATTCCAATGTTGTCATTGCGTTCAAGGTTTTGCTAGATATCATGCGCACGGAAAGCATCGAGTTTGAGCAAGAGAAGACAAAGGTAAATAAGAATCGGAGTCAGCCATTGTTCTACATCTCTCTCATTTGCATCCTGCTTGAAGCATCGACTAATCTTTGATGCCAATCTACAGCCACTTGCGGATTATGTAGATAATTTGGAGTCTGACGTGGGCTCAGATGAAGCATTCTCCGACCTCAAGGTTCGCGATGCGATGAGGGACATGTGGAACGACGCAGGGGTGCAAAAGGCTGTCGCTAGAGGACATGAGTTTGCTCTTCACGATAATCTGCATTAGTGAGTACCGATTTTGTACCAATAAAATAGAGACGGTTATTGACCTTATAGCTTCTTTGATTCACTTGACCGGATATTCGCGCCTGGCTGGCTCCCCGACAATCAGGACATGCTCCAAGCGCGTTTACGAACCACAGGAATTACAGAAACTCTATTTGAACTTGGCCAAATGAACTTCCGAATGATGGATGTTGGTGGCCAACGGTCTGAGCGGAAGAAGTGGATCCATTGTTTTGAGGGTGTGCAGTGTCTTCTCTTCATGGTCGCCTTATCAGGCTACGACCAGTGCTTAGTAGAGGACCAGAACGCTGTAAGAATCTTGCGCTCCTTCCGGATTTGACACATCTATCTAACGCTGTTTCTTGTTAACAGAACCAAATGCACGAGGCCATGATGCTGTTCGAGTCATTGGTTAACGGAGAATGGTTCAAGCGCAAGCCCATCATTCTTTTCCTGAACAAGATCGATCTCTTCAAGGGCAAACTAAGTGTCTCCCCTGTGTCTAGACACTTTCCGGATTTCAACGGTTCGAATACGGACTTTGATGCTGCTGCAAGATATTTCGCTGACAGGTTCCGTGGCATCAATCGCATTCCCGACCGAGAGATTTACATCCATTACACCAATGCGACTGATACAACACTGCTGAAAGCAACCATGGATTCGGTGCAGGACATGATCATCCAGAAGAATCTGCACACTCTTATCTTATGATAATCAATGTTTTATCAGAAACGATTGGCTTCCACGATGATATCCGCAAGCCTGAGGCTGTTCTATTCATTCAGCATTTCACGTTGCATTTTCAGAGCGTTTTCTCTTTCTACGATACTGTGGCCCTCTCCTTAGCCTTGAATTATTCTTTTCACGCTTATTACCCCTTTCTTTTCTTTATACATGCATCGAGGAAGTGGTCTTGGTCGACTCTGTGCTACAGTTCTACTGCAACCTTGCATGAAAAGCTTACACTACTACATGGTGCCTTTTTTATTCGGTTCAGCGACGAGTTTCTTTCTTTCTACGCCATGCGGATTGATACCATTCTATTCTTCTATTCTCTCTTCTGTCGTCATTCATTATGTCTGGCAGTTTCCATGGCTACTTGCTTTTTCTGTCCTTTTCATACTGTAATACATTGTGGCAAAGGCTTCGGCATTTTGTTTTCATAATATCTAGTTTCAATCTTACGATTATTGACAATCTAGTCTGGGCTGAAGTGTCTATAGGTGAGGATTTCTGGTTTGGTGTTTATTGGGACTGGTACGTTGTCTTTAAGGAAATAGAACTCTATTTCTGTTTGAAATGCAGCTGTGTAGGCAAGAGTTTTCTTTTCTCCCTCCTGGTGATAAATACTTATACTTGTCCTGGATGAAAGGATGTTGTTTTGGAATAATTTCCGGGCTATGAGCAATATCTTGTTGATTAGGTTGTATGCAATGCAGCGAAGCCTTCCACGGCATCTCAACGCGTATCACCTCTTAAGAGGTACACATTCTACCTTTGAAAACCGATGCTTTGTCAGTTTATTATCCTCGACATTATTACGTTTAGTACTCCGTACAAGTAAACTCATGGAGAGGTGGAATGATCATTATATCACATGATCGATGTGCTATTCATGCCTCAGGTGTCTAATGAGGAACGAGCTTTACCGGATTAGGCTTCCGCCTGATCGGCTCAACTTCGAATTCGCCTCAGACGACTTCTAACCGGCGTTGTTCCCGACATACTCGTCACCCAGTTTCTGGGCTATTCGACGTCGGAAAATGCTGTCCTCTTCGTTACGCCGGGCTGCATGGGCTCCTATTGCTCCCATCACCGGCATTGCTCGCTCGTCCAGTCAAGCTCTTCCAGCTTCCTCTAATACCCTCTTAGGCGCGGCACAGCATGTGCGTCAGCGCCGTTACTCCTCATCTTCTTCTTCGAAGCCCAGTGACGGTTCCAGAAAAGTTGACGCTTCTTCTCAGACCCCCACAAAGGGCGTGAATGCAAGCGAAAAGCGCGAGGGTAAGGCATCCAGACGAAGGGGAAAAGATAGCAGTGGCCGCAATGGTTCCAAGTCGAACCAGCATATGGTCTTCTCGAGACTGCCTAGCGTTCCCTCCACCCAACACCTCCAACCCCATGGTGAGTAGAGATAGCACCAAGGAGGCGGATAAGGTTCTTAGATTGTCTTTTGACTAACTTTTTCCCTCGCGGAGCAGATGTTCATGTAGCTTCATTCTTTTCTATCCACCGACCTATCTCCGTTTCGACCACTGTTCCTCCTCCTTCTAGCCCTGAAGCATTTGATGCCATATTCACCGCGAAGAAACCCACGAAACATGAATCGGACGATGTGATTCTCACTCTATCTTCTACCGTCAACTCTATGGAGAACCCTGCCTATCATCTAGGCGAACAAGAGGGCTCTCTGAACCACTTCGATATGGAGGGTAACCAGCTCGACGGAATGAACATGGCAGAGCTGAAGGTTTCCGTAGAGGAGCTTACAAGGCGACTTCGTCCATTCCACCCCCCGCCGCCACCGGTTCCCTTCGATGAAGCGAAAGATGCCGGTGCCGTGGAGTCGGAAAACTTCTCTCCCCGCGAAACCAGCTACTCTACCGTTTTGACCATCCACGAGTCCACACATGCGGATGGTCGCAAGACGTACGAAGCTCATACGGGTCCTTTCGTTCGCACTCCAGAAATGGACGCTCCTGGCGCCGGTGAGAATGAAGCCATCATCGACGTACCGTCCCAGCCTGGAACCACCTACATCGAGCGCCTGCGCAATAACCGTACCATGCAAGCGATCAGCACTAAGAGACGGCGTAAGCTGAAGATGAAGAAGCACAAGTACAAGAAGCTTTTGCGGAAGACGAGAACCTTGCGTCGCAAACTTGACAAGGCTTAATCGGGATCTCCCTATTCCCACCTCCTTCCTCTTGCACTGCCCCCTTCCGATCACCTTCCCTCAAGTCTCATGGCATTTTGGAGCTGCACATAGCCATCTTGTCGGACTTGAACCGGTTAGTGATTCCCTCGGTGCTTTACTTCGTGTCCGTCCTTGTGGCTCCCACGGTATATTCATATTCTTGAATATTGCACGTCTCCTATGCATTGTCCACTCTATAGACAGTATCATTTACATAGCTATTTTTTATATCACTTTGTTTGATCGTTGAAGATGGACATATAGCTCTGTATTTTTAATGTGATTATTCGACGCAAAGCTCTGATTGCGCCCTGTACTACTAGATACAATGTAACTCAGTCAACGGTTACACCGATTGCAGCATAAGAAAACTTATGTGTAGCAAATTTATAGAATAATGAATATATTTCCAAACGCGGTACATGTAAAAATATGAAGTTAAGACAGCAGATATTTACGATATCAGCATATCAGCCGCACGGACGCACGGACGCACGGGCTAGAAATGCACCAAAATCATAGTATGAGGTCTTTTGATTCCAAATAACAGATAACATCCCGAATCGAATCTTGAAAGCAAGTAGTAACTTGAACAGAAACAGCAAATAACCGCATAAACAGCATGTCAGCATTGCAATGTAAATGATCCAGTCGAGGACCACAGCGACTCCAATAAAGTACAGGTACAGCGCAGGCTTCAGCCATGCAATGTATCTACCACGACTACCCACACATCATCCTACCATACAGCCTCGGCCTGTATGTAAGAATATAGTTCTTGACAATTGAAGATAAGCAAACGTTCCTTCCCCAATTCGATCGCCGTTTATCTTGGCTCTGTGACAATATGAGAACGTTCTTGTTCAGGGGAGCAAGGCGTTTACCACGTCACGTTGACCAATCTAAACCAATATACTCCGTTGCGCAAAGAGGATTATTAAGGAGATATCGCACAACGAATGCCAAAGATGGCTTAGCACTTGGCATCGATCTTGGCCCGAGAGTTCATGAGAAGGGCAACGATGAGACCGTAAAGACCTGTTGTATGCAGCGACAAATCATTAACAAACTGGAACAAGAGACTAGGATATGCATTCATGAGGCAAAAACCCACCCAAAACTTCAGCGAAAATGAGGATAAGAATCATGCCGACGTAGAGCCTGGGTTGCTGGGCTGTTCCGCGGACACCAGCGTCACCGACAATACCGATGGCAAAACTATACACCATGCCATTAGTTCCTAGCTCTGGTAAAAGTAGACTGTATCCGATTCACTAAGAATGAAGAGACATACCCAGCTGCCAAACCAGCCAGACCGACAGCGAGACCTGCTCCCAGCTGAATGAATCCAGTGTATAGAGGGACTGTCTGTGCCAAGTCGTTCGCGATCAGGACGGACACAACCAGTCCGTAGATACCAATGATACCCGCCATGACAATGGGAACGATGTCTATAACCATCCGCAGTTAGAATCTTTGATACTTAACCGGCGATCCTGTCGGAAGAGCTGAATGCGGGCTCCAACGTACTCTTGACGATCAGATCGGGCCTGAGGACGGCCATTCCACAAACACCGACACCGGCCTTAGCGGTTCCATAGGCGGCACCGAAGCAAGTGAAGACGATGGCCGAGGTGCAACCCAGGGCACCGAAGAAGGGCTATTTCGATAAATAAAATCAGTCATGCTTTCTTCAGTGGGCAACACAGTACGTCAACCACTGGGGAAGCTGGCGATAGCGGTTCCGTAGCTAGCTGGAGCTCTAGCATGGTCGGCATCGAAAACTGGGAAGATACTCACCGCATAGACAGGACTATACGGATATGAAGTTAGCAGAGGACAAACGACTACTTTGCACACTGTATCATCGGAGAAGCATATGGCATAGCGACCGAATGACCCAGATAGGAGTCAACTAGGAGATTACGTACCAAAGTTCTGTGGCCATTTTGAAAGACTAGACCGGTCTGAAAGAGAAGGATTGATTAAGAAAAGTACAAAGAATGTTAGAGGAAACAGTACACACAGGTGAGTGCCGCGTAGACAACAGTTGCGGTGATGCGAAGGCTTCGGTTGTTGATGGGAGTTGAGGCGAACACCGTGGTTGCTGGTCGTTGCTCTTCGGGGAGGCTGACGGACCGCATGTGCTGCCACGTGACCTGCGGCTTGGCACCGCTCATCGGAGTATACTGGTTGCATATATGGAAACTAACAGAATTGCTGTATGATAATGCCTACGGTTTCAATTGTATTTCTCACTTTTGTTTCAGTGACTATGCACGGGTGGCCTTTTGGCCCTTCTAGCTCTATGAGGCGACTAAGTGGACTCGACACCCCGGGATATCAAGTTTAGTACCAGACTCTACAATCTCTTGTTCCGGCCTGGTTGGAACGATTGGTTGCGAGTAGGTCATTGCTTTCTCCGATAGTGCTCCAAAGCAGTTAGGTTTCACTCTTAAGTCCTTTTGCGGTGCACGTTTTCCCGCTTGGTCTAAGGGCATTTCGTTATCATAGACGACACCGAATTGGTACGAGATCGCTCCCTCGCGGGAATCGGGCAGCTCCGGCCGGCTGTTTTGTGCATGGTCTGGCTCGACAGAAACATAGAATTGAATGTAGTCCCCAGCCCTAGCCACTTGTGACAAGGACGACAGGTCATCGACAATAGATAACCCCTCAAACGAAGGTGGCGCAGTCTGTGCCGTGCTCGCGCAAAAGGGAGAGAATATGTTATCCAGCGTCGTAAATTCATTTCTCCCGCAGGGTCCCAAGAAATTGGTCTCGTAATCAAGCGAAAGGAGGCCCTGTTTCTTGCCCCACCCACCACCGCCGCTCATGACCCGGTGAAGTTTGCCTCCGGCCTGAACTGACCTCACAAGTTTGGTCTGAAGGCCATCGGATTCGACTTGCGGGTTGCATGAAGGAGACTCGACCAGAGCCCAAACGGAAACCCTACGGTCAGCGATATTGTGTTCTTCAATGTACCGTGGCAGCTCTTTCTCTAGTTCAGACGAAGCAGGCATCGGGTCCTTCGATGTACCGTTTGGATGTTTTGCTAGTTGACGGAGGATGTTTCCCATGCTGGAGATAACCTCCCTTCGCTGGCCAATGGGATGTAAAGGAAGTGCCAATGAGTTGTGCACAGAACTTGTAGTAGAGGCTATTCGACAGCGCGAAAGCTCAACCGATCGATCGAAGGCAAAACTGGATGAAGAAGGATTATAGGACCAACGAGTCCCAAATAGAGTGTTTTCGTTGCCATTGATAAACAATGTATTGGCGAGGCGCAGTCCGACCTCATGAACAGCTCGGCGGAGGGTCGTATCATCTGAGCCATGCGAAATTCCCGTCTGGAAGGAAAATACGAGAGCTGATTCCTCAGTTTCCGAGCTTCTAATGCGTCGAGGCGCAGCGGCCCTCCCTTGTATGTTCGCCGTTTTCGCAAATAGGAGGGAGATCCCCTCGGACTCTGCCACGGCGCCATTGTCGGTTATATCTTTCTGGACCGATGGAGTGTCGGGCAATTTATCAACAATTGCGACAATGGCATGTACGGATTCGGGGGGATCGGATGTCGGAGCCTTATGATAAAGTCGGTTGATGCATTGTTCGAAAAAGGAATTGGTTGTATCGGCCCATTGGGCAAGACTAGGGGTTAAGAGGAGAATAGGAATATGGTCGGGTCCTGCGAGCGTTGGCGGTATAGAAGGAAGGCTCGAAAGGACATCATCTGGGATCTCTTCGACGTTTAGCTAGTCGCACCCTCGTGCAACACCAGGGAGGCTTACAATCTCTTCCGGGGTCCTCGTTAACCAGGTGTGAGCAAGAAGATGATCATCCACGGCCGCTTTTATTTGCGTTGCAAAGCATCTCTGTGGAACACTGCGCTCTCGTAGATACGGGCTCAGCTTCTGCAATTGACGACGGCCAGACATCAGTTGAAAAGTGTGTGGTTTGATTGCTAGCCGTGCTGGGATGGCAGGCGGGCCGGACCCGAGTATCACCGACATGGAATCATGGAAGTTCGATAATTGCGCCCAGGATTGACTGATAAGGAAGACTGTTTTGTGATCTGAGGCGTGGGGAATATGATCATGGAGGTTGAGGGAACCCTTTCTTTCTGGTTTCCTCCGCGGACCGTCAGTCGGCTGCCAAGACCTGGAGTTCTAGACGGCAGTCGACGAACGAGCTTCCCCCTACGACTACTACTAATTACCTGCCACCATTTAATCACTGTTTTACAGATCATGTAATCACTTTTCGGTTATGAACAAAGCACAAATTCAGCAAATTAATCTATGATTAAGGGCATAAGTAATTTAATGGAAGTCAAGCCACATCTTCTCTTGCCCGATGCCAGTAGAGGCTTTCTACAGCAAGGTGTTGTCAAGATGAGGCTTGGTGGAGAATGCTGGCACAGTTGAGGCCTGTTAATTTATTTTTTAAAGTCTGATCTATGCTTTTCTATTTGTAGAAAGTAAAGCAGAATTCCTTGTACATAGTAAGTTGGCCATATTCAACTTGATTCTTCGCTTTTTCTGCTAGCTGGGGTTATAAGCGCCGTTTGAAACGCTGGAGGTCTGTTAGCCTATCATTCAAGTGGTGTAATGCATCGTCCCCTTGTTTCCACTCTTTGTATCCGTATGATTGAAGCTCATTGGCGTTGTGGTAAACTTGACACTCCCATGACGTATACAGTGTGTACATCATTATATAGAAGTGCAGAAACAACATGGTTGGAGGCATAGCGACAGCACTGTGTAAGTAAATCCCGAGTGTCGTTCAGGATATGATATCAGTTGGCAAGAAATACCGGCGCTAGGTAATTGTAGCGGTGGAGGTCAGAGAACGTATACTAGCATTGCCATATAGCCTATACTTTATTACTATGTGCATACAGTACGGAGTACTATACTAAGCCTGACTGGTAAGGCCATAGGGCTGTGCGGCCCACTGCTTGTTACACCCCCGTGCTCGATGGAGCCCTGACATCAGTCAATGGTCGTCAGGATAACTCAAAAACCAACAATAAATAGGGACCTGAATTTGAGGCGCTTTATTGAAAAAAACAAAAAACAAAAATAGAAACAACTGAATATATGATGACGATTTTTATTTTTATTTTTATTTTTTGTTTTTGTTTTTCTTTTTTGCCTCTTTTGGAGGCACTTCCGGTGTATTAGAGAAGAAACTGGTCAGCCTGGAACCGCCAAGCTTTTCCAGGCAACAGAATTCAAAGGGAAAATGGAGAGGGCAAAAAAAAAAAAAAAAAAAAGGATACTAGTCATGGTGACATAGCGGTTGGGCGACTAGAAAACCAATCCCCTTGCCTGTGATCGTATAATCAGGTAGTGCTGCCAAGGATAACAAGCCACCATGAACTCAAGGGACGCTCCATTCTGCAAATTTCACCCTTTTTCACAGATCCACTGTGGAAGTATGTACATGGCTTCGACGACGACGCAAAAGTCACCCGACAAGAAAGCTGGATCGGAGGGCTCGGCAGCGGGAAGTTCTTAATGCACATCATGGGTGATTCATCCAATGGGAAAAAGGATGAAGGAACCCTGAGCCACAGTTGACGGTGGAAGTATGACGTAGCTAATCAAAACCGATGAAGCATCACCTTCTCTTTATGGTTTTGACTAAGGGGAAATTACTACCTGGATCATCACCACCCCGAAGAAGAAAGAAATCCATAGTACATACTGAACCAATTAACCTAGTCGTCTACTAGTACCTAGTCAGTCACTTAGCCTAACCCGGTCCCAAGCCCCATCGGGAGTCCCAGTAAAAATTAGTACTGCCTTGGGGCGTTTTTTTTCTGGGCGGACGTGCTCTCACGTTATCTTGCCGCCCATGATCTATTAAATCATTTAAAGAGCCCATCGCTTCTCTCCCGCCTTCCTCCTGAAATCTTCCCCATCCTTCCCACTACAATTTTACTACTATTATCACGGACCCAATTCGTGCTAATTTGATCACCGACCACTGTCGACCTTGCCTATAGAACCTACACGTTTCTCGTTGACAGTCCTTCGTCACCATGCCTTTCACTGCTTCGTAAGTGAGCTCCTATCATCGGCACCACACTCTGTTGTCCACTCTTTCTCGGAGTCACCCCCTTCCTGATCCCATCGTTGCGCTTCATACCTTTATAAAGAGAACGGGGAATAAAATTTCAGTGGGGGCTCAACTAACCAACCTGAATTTAGTGATATCTGCAAGATCCTTTTCGCGATCATCCTCCCTCCCTTGGGTGTTTTCCTTGAGCGGGGATGCGGTGCTGATCTCCTCATCAACATCTGTTTGACCATCCTCGGTTGGATCCCTGGTATCATTCACGCTCTGTATGTGTCTGCCTTGCATTGAAACTGCATGTCATGGTGTACTAATCTGGTTCGCAGGTACATTATATTCAAGTACTAGACAGCTCTCCACATCTCTGTCGCCATGCCTGTTTTGGTTCACAGCGCCCGGTCGAAAAAAACTGCATCGTTTCGCGGCCAATAGCATGAGATACCAACTTTTGAGATCGTACTCGCGACCATGATGTTGTCAGCACTGTTCCGCGGCGCTCCGGCCCAAGCCACCCTAATGCAACCCCACCACTTGGCAACCCCCGTGTATCCATTCTTCAACTGCGACGGCGCTAAGCGGTCTGGAACGCTGCTTGCTCGCTGCGATGGCGTTTTGGATTGTTCCGAATTCCCTTTATTCTCATGTTAATCATGCTCTGTTTTTTTCTTCGCTTCGGATGATACCAGCTCATTTGCGATACTGGGCTTCTACTTTGCTCTGTTGTCAGTGAGATTAGTTTTAATGATTAATGGCAATTGATAAGACCTTTGATCTGTGATCGTGCTAATATCATCTTCCGTAAAGTCCGACAAGATTCTTGTTAGCGCCCTTGGTATAAACCGCTTACGAACGAGGACTCCCATGCCAGGTGGTCTAGAAGTGGGTACCGATGTTATAGTATATCTTGTTATTACTTTGTTCAAGTACCGAATACCCACCAAGTGATACGCAGATCGCACTCCACAGGAACCTAACGTAAGATATTATCGCACCCCCTCGCTGGAAACATCGCAAGTGTGGCTCTTGGGAATTGTTATCGAATTTTTGCTATCTTGAATGAATCTACAACCAAGTGTGACAGCAAAGTGTTTTGAGACAAACCTGGTCAGCCTCAGTTCGGTCATACCATCCGAATATATTCGCGTATTGAACGCATTTCCAGGTTCCAAATGAAAAAGGAATCGAAAAGAGAAGGGAAAACGTTTTAGAACCAATACACCAGCCTATCTGACCCAGCCAACACTGCCATTGGAGCTTGTATACGGTCGCTTTCAGACACAGAATCATAGGCCACGAGGCTTTTGTAAATAGCATACGCCAATTGAGTGTACTCTACAAGGGCATACCCACTTAAAACCAGGGATACCATACCGAGTTAAGCTTCCGGCGTAGAAGGCCAAACTCGTTCGAAGCTAGGGTTAGCTTAGCCAATAGCTTATCTCCAAATCAGACCCATTCACAGTAATCAAGGCTAGACAGGCTACGCCAAACGACCTCCAGCATCCTTCCTTAAAGATCAGTTAGCGGAAAATAGATGACATGGCATGGATGCTCCGCTCCATATGTAAGTCCAGCATGAGAGAGATGCGACTATGCTATGGTCTAATCCTCGGTTGGAAGAAGCAGGCAGAGTCATAGATCACTTTAGAGTGTAGCCTTACGATAAGGAGGTATGATTAGAGCCCCAGGCCGACTCAGAAGGGTTCAAATAAGCTTTAGCTCCCATGTCCCGGGCTTGTGTGGGTATTGCCCAATCAGGAAGTCGAAGGATTCTTCAGGTACGACCCTATGACATGACGAAAAACTGCATACAAGCGCCTCACTGTGTGTGGAACATTTCTACTCTTACGTGTGAAAGAATTTTTCACCTATGCTGTATGGAAAGGCTCCTATCACGGTGTATGTCGTTACAAACTATGCTGATGCTCTACGGGCATGTACAGCCCATGCCACCGGGCCATTACGACCGTGCTGGCATGTGGAGAACAGATTTAGATGTAAACTTAACCAGGGTCTTCGAAATAATAGAAATAAGAAGTTATTTTAGCCCAAGGGTGTAAGCCTTTAGGATGTAAGAACAACGAACGCTGAAAAGACTGCAGTCACTATTCAAGAGATACAAAATATTGCCCTGTTTCATATTTGTCACCCTATCTTTCAGTCTTCCTAACTACCACCAAAGGCTTAGACGTGTTACTACATACGAGAAGTCATCTATATTTGGAGTCAGATGATCTGACATCACGCTTCGTAGGCTCTGCAGCATTGGCGCCAACACGGCGCGTACCGAGCTTGTTTGCGTTCCTCTCGCCCAAACAAAGCGCTTACCCACTTTAATGCATCCTTTTACAGGCTATTCTGGAATTCGAGTCAAGCAAAAGGTTATTTATGTTTCATGAGGGCGCTTACAGATGTGTTGTTGATGGGGTTCGTCTCAGATCCAGGCTTTTCTCTGCCCACGGCCACTCAGCGCCATGGCGAGAGACGATGATCTTTTTGACGCCGCGCGGAGTAGGATGACCACAATATGGCATTGACCACGCTAAGCTTTAATCATGATCTTTTTCATGTCTTCTCTTTCAATTCCGACCTCACATCTCTGTAGTACCACCTTGCCTACAGTGTCTGTACCACTATTGCGATTGTATACTGTTAAGTTCCATCCGGCTTACCTTGTCCGCTTCCTTAGCATGGTATCCTATAAGTGGATATGACTTCTGAAGCAGACATCACCTTGCAATATTGAGGCTATGGTAAGTTGGTGAAATCGATGAGACTAAATGACGTTCTCTCCTTGAGAGGCCTGTCCTTCTATCTCTTTCGAGTTTCTGTCTGCATTGGAGCTGTACGGTTTGCTAATGAGTTCGGATCTAAATAGGTACTGCAATATGTTATCATCTTTTCTTCAACAGTTACCCACCGCATTTCTATCATCAGTCTCGCTTCTTCTAGCTCTAGGCGCATATGGCCAAAAACTCCCGGCATCCCAACTCGACACCGTACCCGACTGTGCTATAGACTGTGTTGAGAGTTTCGTAAACACTGAGTATCCGAACAATGCGTGCTCGTCCGTGTCCGATATCAGCTGTCTGTGTAAAACGAACACAAAAAGCGGGTATACATTGGGGGAAGCAGCCTTACGCTGCAGCATCTCGTTTTGCTCAATTGAAGTGGCGATCAATTCAAGCGTCTACAGCATTTGTGACTCGATATCCGGATCGTTGCCTCGTACACATGCTACAATAACTGCCACAGTTGTGTCTGTGCTATCGCCTACGAGCGCTCCCACTACCGAGACACACTCGCCTAATCCTAGTTTGACCACCTCGGCGGATCCTACACTACCGAAGACAGGACATCCATCGACTACATTCACCACCTTTCAGAGTCCGGCATCAGCAACGGATACGGAGCAGAGTACCTCAAGTACTGCTAGCAGCTCGCAGACGTCTCACAATGCAACATCAGGAGCAGAGGCCGGTAAAGAGAGTAGTCTTAACGCAGGTGCTGTTATCGGGGTTTCTGTGTCTTCTGGTATTGCGGGATTCTTTATACTTGGGGTTATAGTATTTTTCTGCTGCAGGAAAATGAAACGGCGGTATCAGCAACCAAAGGACCGAGATTTCTTCGAGATTGGAGGTGTTATGGCGGAACCACCCGATTTCTCACTACCTCCAAGACGTCCGAGTCCAGGTCCCAACCCCTCAAACCGTGCAGGACACGGAGACACCGAGACTTCGAGGCTCATGTCTTCATTTCACGCTGGTCCTCAGAACCCAGCAGTCGTTGTAACCGGCCCGGATGACGACTACCATTATGGTTCCACGGGGATACACAGCCCAGGAAGGATTGGCTTTGCTATATCTTCCAGCTCAGATGCCGAGCCCTCAGTCAGTCAATCATCCCCGCGGACAGTCTCCGACCTATTGCCTGACAAGCCGGCGTACACTCTCTGCCCAGAACCATTGAGGCTGAGTCAACAGAAATACACGAGGCCTAATAGTGGTGACACATTGTTCGAAGAGGATGTCACCAGATCAAGGAGTTTCCTAGGTGGTAACAAGCCCTATCCGAAATATTCAAACATGCAAGCTCCATACAGTAATAACCGGAAGTACAAGCGATCTCCAAGATTAGGGCTTCCTGATAACCCGCGGGCATTGTTTCACGCCTTTCGAGCGCGGAATGATACCGGCTTTTACGTTGGTCCACACCACCCAAAACAGCCAGCTTACGTTGGTGCTGGTGAAGGGGTACAATACCCTTATCAGAACGATGTATACGGCAAATCATTGCCCCTTGGTCCACGGCCGTATAACGCGAAGCGCAATGAGTATATCGGTGATTACTGGCGGGGCCCCGATATGGGGCTTGCCAGAGCTCTTCCTGAGCCACCGGTATCTCGCAATACAGTTCGTCATTCATATCAGGAGGCCGACACAAAAGGCAACTTATTAGACAGCTCCAGTGACGAATTTGAGACCATCAATATTAACGAAAGCTCGGGGCCTCATCGAACGTCTCGACACTCTGGAAACTTCAGACCACTCACTCCTGTACGAGAAATTCGAACACCCAACAATGAAGGCCAGCAACGAAACTATTTTGACGAGAATGCGCCTGTAAAGTATCCCCGAATGCCGTTGTCCCGAACCGTTAGTCCAGCCCGGGAAATTGTGTCTAGGCCCAGGATCGTGCGGCGTGATGATATTAAACGTGTGCAAATACGTCGAGGCAAACCACAACCCAAGGAGTTGACTGTTCCTTACTCACCAGATGATTACTGGAGTGGGTATAACCGTAGCTCTCTGTCCGGACCTAGATCGTCCAGGTTGTCTGGTGATCGGTCCTCAACGGAAATACAGGGACGCATGGCAAAGAAGAGGCGTTCATCGTCCGAGCGCAATTTGACACCATCAAGGAGAGGTTCTGATTTAATTCTTCGGGTAGATTGACGGCCAGCTTCTGTTTATTTCTTTCTTGTTGTATTTGTTCTTTCCATCAAGTATGTGGTGGCTGAATTCCTGGTGAAGGCCCGTGTACTATGTATATACTCATAGAATACCGTTTCTTGATAATTATAGAGGGGAAAAGTATGTCCTTCAGACAGGTACCTAGTTGGAGAGGTGAGCATTGAGGATGGACTGGTTCTTTGTAGTATACTACTCACCTTACTGCTTTTATTTTCTTCAGACTTTTCTTTGTTTGTTTCTTTATTCTGACTACTGAATAAACTTTGGACGAGTATAACAAAGACTAGAGGAGGGGGCCAAAACCTCGCTTATCGCAAACAATAGCGGAGATGATGCCCAAAGCAAAGCACACATACCGTGCCGGTGCCCCATCATTCTTGCAGAATGTGGTAAAACCCCTAACCCCCCTTCTCGGTGAAGAGAACGAGGAGAATAGCAAGGAAGAAGCAACATTCCACTCTGTGGGATACCTAGGGATGTTAACCAGCCATTTTGGCCATAATAGCGACGATGGTGCCAATCCGACACAGACAGACGCTAAGACCAAGTCATCCCGTCAAGATCACATGCAGCAAGGTTTGGAAAATGGCTGACTGAGGCTGATGGTCACACCTTGTAAACTCTTTCAGAACGTTGCAGCGCAGCGGCGGCTTTTCTGACGAGGATCTCTCGGAGATGGATCCAATGAACGCATGGGACTCGTCGCTAGGCCTCGGGACATCGGCTGGGCAATCACACCCCATAGGTCGCCTGGTATCTGTGCCTGCGCCATCGCCGTAATGGATATTGACGGCATGCTGCTCTTCAAACATCTTACTCGGAGATAACACCCGCAGTGACGTCAGGGGCGGCTGTTGGGATGAAAAATTCCCTCATTCTGAGAAGGGGGTCGAGGGCATGAGGGAGGGCTGCTGAAGATGGATGGTTGAGACAAAGAGAAGCGAAGGGGATAGGGGAGGGAAGTTGAGAGGAAACGCAAAAGTAAATCAAAATTAAATAATAATAATAATAATAATATATATATATATATATATATTTTTTTAAAAAAAAAAAAAAACCTCCAACTTTTCTTCATGTGCTGAACGGAATGCTTTTGAATGTGTCATGTTCAGTCGGACGTTGTATGTATGTACATACTACATAGTATTTCTATTTTGGCAACGATGCTGTGGAGAGATGTGGATCCAAGATTCACGATATTCTCCATATTCTCCAGCTGTCAACCAAAGATATCGACCATGGTTCTTCTCCACCATACCTGAGGCATTCGTTCCTTCCCATTGTGCGTATTACTCGCAGTACACAGTACGGTCTGTACGGTACTTACTTGTACCATGGTACAGAGACTCTGGTTCATTTTTACAAGACACCACGCAAGTGCAAAAGGTAAATCGAAGTAATCAACGTACCGGGAAACGTAAAGGGTAAAGCCACCACCACCACCACCACCACCACACAAACAAGAAAAACAACCACATCATACCCCGTAACCACAGCCACTCTCCCAATCTTCCTTTTCGATGATATCAACGACGATCCGAAGATAATTGTCAGGATGTCTTCCTGCGCGTATCCACTTTGATACCCCTCTACTGCACATCAACTCCACCGTCTTCGAGCGATCGAGCACCGGCGTCCTATGGTTTACGACTCGGTGGGCGCCTTGATCATTGTGTCGAGCAAATCAGAATGTGGCATCCCTTCAGTACAAATAATCAATCACAGCGTCGCTGCCTGGAATGGACCGGAGAGCACCGGTAAACTTTCCTTTCGGTGGAGTCTCTTCCTGGAGCACGTTAATGCATGATTCCATTTCTAAAAAGGAATTCGTCCAGGAGCGGTTGATGTAGGAGCCACGGGTTGCATTGACCATGAACCAAACAATGCTGCTCTTCACTCCACCCTCTGTGCCCTGTCTTTATATTAATGGCTTCATCCTCGCAACCTTGACCCTCTCTCTCCACTTCACTTGGTCAATCACTCCCTCTTCCTTCTACTAAGTACTCTTAGAGTGCAGCCCATTGCTGTTCTTGTCTGGACGATCGCGGTACTGCTGCATAATCCCGGTCTTCTCTTCTCTTCTTTTTCTTTATTCCATTGTTTGGTAGAATCTCTGTTCATTGATTGTCCTAAATCTTGGATTGTTTATCGAGCTGTGTTTCCGTTTCTCTGCTTTGAGACAATCTCGTTGACAGAAGTGGTGATCGATCTTTGACGTTGACGGTTTCGCCTTCTGCTGGCCGGTCCCACACAGGTCACTCCACAACCTCCACTATCTGAGGTCATCCCGTAGTTTTACCCACAATAATAGGAACGAAGATGACGACCGCCGACGGTCTAGGCGCCCAAAGGGTCCGCCGGCTATCCAGCTTGGACGCTGTTCGGGCCGACCTTTATGGCGGCCCCAATGTGGTCGTTCCTCCCAAGCATTTGATGGCCTCCGCTGACTCTCACGAAACGGCTATGGAAATGGAAATGGCCAAGCAACACCTAGAAGATGAGGTTTCATCTGATGAGGGGTCACCCCGCGTTGCGTCTCCCGTCCTGCGAGGGCCTTTGACCACCACTGATGAGTTTGCGCTGGCCTTTGACATTGACGGCGTTCTTATCAGGGGAGGGGAACCGATCCCCGCAGCCATTGAGGCACTCAAATATATCAATGGAGCCAATCCATATGGAATTAAGATGTAAGAATTTCCTTTACAAACTGTTCCCTTCCATTAAGTGACATTGTCGACGAAATCGAGCGCTATGGCATAAACTAAAAACCTACCTCTCTTCCAGACCCTATATCTTCGTCACAAATGGTGGAGGCAAGACCGAAGAAGAACGATGCTTGGATCTAAGCCGGCAACTCGAACTGGAGGTCTCGCCGGGCCAATTCATTTGTGGCCACACTCCCATGCGGGAGATGGCGGCGCGGTATAATACCGTTCTTGTCGTTGGTGGTGTAGGTGAGAAATGCCGCGTTGTAGCTGAGGGCTATGGTTTCAAGGATGTCATTACCCCCGGGGATATCATCAAGACGAGGCACGACACTACTCCATTCCGGAGCTTGACAGAAGAGGAGTACAAGAACTCTCGCGTCCGAGATTTCAGTCAGACCAACATTGATGCCATCTTCGTTTTTGCTGACAGCCGAGACTGGGCCGGTGATCAGCAGATCATTTTGGACGTTCTCATGTCGAAGAATGGACGCCTCGGGACACGCTCCGAGACCTTCGAAGAGGGCCCACCCGTTTTCTTTTCTCACAATGATGTTGTATGGTCCACCTCTCATGAACATTCTCGTATTGGTATGGGTGCCCTGAGGGCTTCTCTAGAGGCGCTCTACAAAGCCGTCACTGGAAAGGACCTACATACGATTGCGTTTGGTAAACCTCAACTGGGAACATATGAGTTCGCCACCCGACTCCTTCGCCAGTGGCGTAAGGACACCCATGGTATCAACAGTCCTCCGAACACCGTCTATTTCGTCGGTGACACCCCAGAGTCAGATATCCGCGGTACCAACGAGTTTGACAAGATCAGTGACTCCCACTGGTACTCAATTCTTGTTAAAACGGGTGTCTACCAGGAGGGTACTATTCCCCGTTACCCGCCCAAGAAGATCACCGACAATGTGTTGGGAGCTGTCAAGTTTGCTATGGAACGTGAACTCAGCAAGCAGGCCAACGAGTCCGCCATTGCAGATGATGTCGACTCCGGTATCGACTCGGAATCTGCCAAGAACCATTGATTGCCTTTCACTAGGAAACTTTCATATTTTACGTTCATCAACATTTACATTCATATGATATCCCATGCCATCTATATACTTCTTATATTTCGTGCTGTGCACAGTTTGTTTTCCATTTTTACGATGCTTTATGATTCCCTGTCATGTCAGTCTGCTTTCATCTTTGGTTGCTTCAACACCATTAGATTCGGTCTTCCTCTCAGACACGAATTGCCAGAGATCATGGATAGATGTCATTCAGTGCGCATTGATCCTAGGATGATAGTTTAGGTTCACAGTACCACGAAAGCCATTTCGGCGATCAAATTTGTGAGACCCTATAGACTTTGTGATTGATTGAGTTAGGAATAGTATATCTATCATCTGCTTCTGTGATCTATCAGCATGCTGTGGACAACAATCTAAAGTTACAAATAATATTAGCTGGTCTATGGCAGCCAACTCCATCTCTCCCCACTACATAAGCACGCCTTTCATGGTATCGTAGAGACTCAGATGTTCTACATCTGACGTGACGTCGAATCAGCCTCCTACAAACACTGTAGCATCCGTAACGCCGAGGTCATGTTTGAAGCCTCACACACATCGGGAGAGACGAAACAGGCAACTCCGAATATTAAGTTCAATAGTATTATATCATGCCTATAATATGCAAGCAGACGTCACGATTCCAAGAGGGGGAGCTCAGCGGAAGAGGTCATCTAGTCTGAATTTGTCTGAGCGCGAGAATAGTCCGGGACCTTAATGGAGGGCCGGTCCTACCTACTGTTGGACCGGAGAGTGTATTCGTTGCAGTGGGTTCAGCCTTGCGCCTTTTGCTTGGATATAGAGAACCATGGATATGCTCTACTAGTAACGTATAAAGCAGGTTAATATTGTCGGGGATGAACCATTGACCCCTCATGCCGAGAAGCGGACACGCACCGGCGTCGTCGTGGGCGCGCGGGGGGGCCGATCCATTCAGAACGCTTATTAGTAACCGTGTACTCAGTCGATGTTTCCTATACGAGGACTCGATGGGGTGCAGTTATGCGACTATTTCCGCACCCCGCATTTTCGATGGGTCCCCGTTTAGATCTGAAATTCAGTATCGAGCCAATGCTTGGTGATTATTTTGCCTTCATCAAAGCCCGGCTTAGCTGCCCGCACGATGATCGCTGCATGGCTATGTCGGTGGTTATGGATGTAGACCGGGTATTTGCGGAATCCCACGGCGTTGAGCGACTCGATTATGGCGATCTGGGCTGGCGTCAGGGCGAGGGTGGGATATGCTCGGCTCTTCTTGCTGATGGCATCATCTGTTGTTGCTTCGCGGGCGCTGTTTGGTTGGTCATGCTTTGGTGTTTGAGGGGAAGCTTCCTGGATGGTGATTGAGGAGCTGGGTTTGTGCTCTGCAGCTTCTTTAGCTTTCAGGCTGGGGGAGTTTCGTCGCCTGATTGAATCTGCTGGACTGCTTTTGCTTGTGGTGGAGAGGTATTCGGGGTCCTGGCTGAACCCGATGTCCTCGTAGGCTTCTTCTATGGCGCTTTGCATTTCCTTTACCATGACGTGAGGCAACCGGTATTGTCTGAAGAGCGTTGCGCTCTCTCCTTCCTCGTGTAGCCGGACTCGTTCTCGACTGTGGGACCACTGGGAGATCGAGTGCAGGAAGAAAAGAGGGAGGATGATGGATAAGAAAAGAACAACAAAGGCCCAGAACAAGGCCGTGGTGAAAATTCTCGTTATTTGCCCCCATACACGCGATCCCAATGGCAAAGTCTCTTTCAGCTCCGCCGAAGGCAGAAAGTACATATCTGGGTCGATCACAACAGGCTCATACCCCTTGGCATAGTTAACCTGCGCGTCGCCCAGATCACGAAAGGGATCCACCATCGAAAGCATGGTAGTATAGAAGATGGTAGTGCGATCATTGACAACATTCCCATAAAGGCTGCGATTCTTGAACTTCGCCAGAGCCCGCACGAAGATACTATCCGGATCCGCCAAAATGCTAAGCAGCGGTCGCCCCGAGTCCCCAAAAGAATCAACCAAGAACAGCTGCTGCGCGGATATAGACCCCTGGCGGGGCCCTACGTTATTCCAGATATAGCCCCAGACGCCCTTTCGGGGGATCCGCACGCCAACATGCGGCGACGCGAAGGTTGTAAAATTGACTGGCTCGAGCTTGTCGAACCACCCTCGTGCGTCGAGTAATCCTATTGCATATCTAGCCAGCAGGCCTCCGAACGAGTACCCGACGATACTCAATTTACGGATAGGACATCCTTTGTCGGCTAATGCATTCAGCGTTTCTTCAATCTCGTGGGCCACTCGCTCGCCGCCGACTTCGGTCCCATCGTACGTGAGATTTCCAATGTTGCGCTCTGTGACTAGAACGTGGAGGCGGTCCTCACTGTATCGCTGTCGCAGTGACGCTGCGAGGTGGTCCATATGAGAGGGGTTACCCCAGAATCTGTCATAGTATCTGTTAGCAGATGTGGTGGTCGACTCGATCCGATGTCCTTACCCATGGATCAAGACACAAAGGTGATCGGCTTTCCGGGGAACCCCGTCCGCACCCTCATTGTGATTACTCGAATCCATATTTCATAGACAATTTGCTAGTCACGATTCAAACCGTTATTCTTCTGTTTTATATACGTCCCACGACTTGTATATATCTATGTACTGTATATGTTGTGAGTTCCTTCGATGAGCATCAACGGATGTGCTCCGTCGTCTTTAGATGCTTATCTACAGTGATTACCAAGCAGGTGTCTGCCTAATTCAGGTCCTGCCCTATGACAGGTCTGCTTGTAATGCTGTTCATGTATATGGCTTTTGTATATAGGTTGAGAAGAAGGAGGAAATGTCTATCAATGGCAAGGTGCTGAGACCCTACTACTTCGCCTAGTCAGGGGCAGATCATGATTGATTGCTGGATGCCGATAATTGCAACGGCGAGCGCGACCCCAGCAGATGCCGTGCGCCGGGGCGCTTGGGCCAATCAGAGCGTTTCAGATCGAGCAAATCACGTGGGAATATGCTTTATCAACCTTGACACCTTCATTATAGAAGACTGGTGGTTATCTTGGTGAATCTGGAGGTTTGCTGGGTATTTATGGGTACTCTAAAGAGAAGTCATGGCTATTGTTTTGGTTTTACTGCTGTGTTTGTGGAGTAAATAAGAGTTTGTGATTCTAGGGTTTCTATGCTATACTATGAAGAATATATATGACGGGCAACATAGCAGCATACTCTGATCAGCATTACAGTCTACAATTCGCAATCATCTCATCCTCTGTATCTCATAGCGTAGTAATTCTCTACTATGCGAAGTTGCTTCTCAGCTCCAAATTCACAGTCGATATGTACTTGTCACTTGCTGCGATACATCAGCGTTGGTGCCTTACCAATCCGGCAAGAGATTTGCGGCGTTTGCATCGTTTGTTTGAAGGACCGCCGATTCACCACATATACAGCTCTTTAGAACATGCACTTCATTGTACTTGAAGGTGTATATGCTATATACTCTGTCTTCCTTGCAGACGAGGTCACTGAGGTTTTCTTCGATGCAGTAATTCATTGAAGCTGACTGGAACTTGGAAAGGGCTAGGGTTCTACCTCAACTTCTCATCCACCAATTTTAGGCCAGACCGAGAACACCCAAGAACAAAACATGCTGGAAATGACCAGCTCTATTTTGTTCACCTAAATTGCACACGCGATTGGCCTGAGGAATCTATGTTCATATTCCTGTAGTGACCAGCTACATCTCAGCAAGGCCTCAAGGATACGAGCATAAATATCATCACTTCACATTTCTTTCATATATGATCGGCCTACTACCTCCTTGATATCACCACAATGTTTGCTCCACTTGGCTTATTCAGGGATATCCCCTGTCCTCAGGGCCAGGAATGCGCTCTCTTGACTTGCATGTTCTCTCACGAAATCACCCACCCACCCGCAGAGGTTGACAAAAGCGCCATGAGTACGCAGTCAGAGAAGGAATCCACAACTACTCAAGAGTCTCCGTCACCGAAGAAACAAAGGCTGCAGGTAACGGCTGAGGCTGACAGGGTCAAGAAGGAAGACAAGCCTTCACCTTCGCCTCAGTACAAACTTAGTGATCAAAGAGCTACACCGGCAAAGAAGGTCATCACCAAGGCTCAAACAACAAGCCAAAATCCTGCAAACCTTCAGTCGATGTCCAGGGGCGTCTCGCCGCCTCCTTCTAAAGCTGAGCCTTCAACAGCGAAACGTGATGTATCAGCATCTGCAAAACCGGAGCAACGACCTCCGCTACGTAAGGCTCCTCGTGAGAGTCTGAATCCTAGGATGTTGGCCAAAGCGCCGGTGTCTCATGGCGTGCGGCTGTCTATTTTGACGAAGCTTCATGCTGCTATGTCCTCATTGAATGACAAGATAGCGAAGGACAAAGAAAATAAGGATAAAAACATAGTCCTTACCCCAAATGAGCTCATCACAATGGCTCTAGATGAAGAGGAAAAGACGGCAAAAGGGAATGCCAGTGTATACGGCAATGTCATCAAACTCCGCATCGTTAAACTCTCGAAGATGAGCAAAGAGGATTGGGTGAAAGATGTCAAAGCTTATCTAAATGAGAAATATTACAAGACAGCGCCAAGTGAAGCAGATCAGAAGCCGGCTGTTCTTACAACTGGCTTGAGCATCAAAGAGGAAATAGCAATTGCAGGAAGACTAGTCACGCCTCTTGAAGGATTGGAACAATATGGCTATGTGACCAAACTACCCACAGACGAGGAGATTGAGGGCGCAAGGAAAGGGGTCATTGAGTCTAAAGGATGGGAAAAGTGTGATCGATGTGGTGGACGATTCCAGGTCTTTCCTGGCCGCCGTGAGGATGGTTCGTTAACAACAGGAGGGCAATGCACATACCACCCTGGCAAGCCGTTCTATCCTCCGAAGAAGCGGACAGATCATATTACTGGCCACAAGGAGGCCTACTACACTTGCTGCAATGAGACCCTGGGGACTTCTTCTGGATGCACTAAAGGCGATACCCATGTCTTCAAGGTGTCGGAGGCTAAACGACTAGCGTCCATTCTTCAGTTTGAAAAGACTCCAGCGCAGCCAGACAAGGGCCGCCTTCCACCGGTATGCTTCGACTGTGAGATGGGATACACCACGTTGGGGCTGGAGCTGATCCGGCTCACGGCTGTTAGTTGGCCCGAGGGCAAGGAGCTCCTCGATGTTATTGTCAGGCCCATGGGGGAGATCCTCGACCTCAATTCGCGGTTTTCTGGCGTTTTCCCCGAACATTACAATAACGCGGCTCCCCATGATGGCTCAGCTGCACCGACCACTGCATCTGTCAGCGAGGATGGAGTGGCTAAGTTAACGCCCTTACAGGTGGTGGAATCTCCTGCAGTAGCAAGGACTTTGTTGTTCCAGCTGCTACAGCCCGAGACGCCTTTAATTGGCCATGCCATTGACAATGACCTCAACGTTTGTCGTATTATCCATCCTACCGTTATTGATACCGTTATACTGTACCCAGTGGGGGCGGGCCTACCCAACCGCATGAGTCTCAAAACCCTATCCAGAAAATACCTTGATAGGCACATACAGACTGGAGGGAACCGTGGGCATGATTCCAAAGAGGATGCGATTGCTACTGGGGACTTGGTCCGGGTCAAGGCCGCAGAAGCCTGGAAGGTGTTAAAGACGAAGGGATGGACTGTCCAGGATGATAAACTTGTGCCTCCTCCCGGTGTAACAGAAGATACTGGCCCGATATGGCGACTTGGACCTGGAGCCGGGCAGAAGAGGACTAGTTCAGATTTAGGTTAACTTAGGATGGCCACATCATAGCTGACTTTACTATATGATACCCAACGAAACGCAACTTCTGTGCAAACTACGCGAGAATCAAGGAACAAATGGGTGATAGATGGATCAATTCAAATCTACCAGTCGTAACGTCATGAGTAGAAGTATTACACCAACACGGGGATGTGACGAGACTAGCCATGGAATGCCGCCTTTTCAGGTGGAGGCAACCCGGCGGGCATATCACGCCGCAGAGCCGTGTTGATGCGCTCCCGACCAACCGCATCTATATACCCTCCAGACCTGACCTAAAGCCCGGACTCCCATTAAGATATCGCTCCCGTCCAAATCTGGAAACCCCCTGATGTGAGCGCACTCGAGCCTGGCTGATTTTTTTTTTTTAATTTTTATCCGAGAGAGGAGACATTTACTCCTCATCCTCGTCAGCCTCCTCGCTGGCGACGTTGTAGAAGCGGAGCTCGTAGACACCCTTGGAGGTGGCGACAACGCGGAGCCAGTCACGGAGCTGCTGCTTCTTGAGGTACTTCTTGGTCCTGAATGGCCATCAGTATTACGGGTCGTGGGTATTATGCGACGGGTGCGAGGCAACTTACAAGTACTTGAGGTAGCGACCAGAGAAGGGGATGTGGGCAACAACCTCGATCTTGCCATCACCGACCTGGGAGATGACGACCTTGTCACCGAGGTTGCCGACACGGCCCTCGACCTTGATGCGGTCGTGAAGGAACTTCTCGAAAGCGGAGATGTCGAAGATCTTGTCGCTCACGGGCTGAGAAGCGTTGATGACATACTACAAAGATAGTATGTTAGCGATCATCGAGTTGTTTGATTTGCTTGCGAATCGATTCCTTGACATACCTTCTGGGTAACCTTCTGGGCCTTACGACCACGAGCCTATTCACCGGAAGTTTGCGATTAGCCTACTGTTCCATAATGTCGAATCCCCAGGGAGTCCATGACGATATCCTGCACAAGCTAATGTGAAGATACCGTCTGGCTGCCATCTCAGGGGGAACAGCAAAGCAGTTTCAGGATTGACAACATACAGTAGCGGGAGACATTGTGATTGATTTGAGGGGGGTTGGTGACGAGGGAGTCTTGGTCGCAAAGAGATGAGTATCCTGCGCCTGGAACGAAGATTGCAGAGGGATGGAGATCTAAAACTTCTCGCTAGTGGAGCCTTCGATAATCTCACCGGCGAGTGCGTGTGACTAATCCGCATTGGGAAGCCATACTAGGGCTGGACATTGTTATTAGGGTATCTGGATGTCATCTGACCGTTTGTCTTACTAATGGTTTGTATCGTTTGCTTCCTCGCTTAACCAGGAATGGAGACACTAGTTGACTAGCGCCGCACGGGCCATTGTGCTATTTGTTTAAATACTCCGCCGACCTCCCGCTCTTTAGAATTTTTTTCTTTTCTTCTCCAGCTCTCTTTGCCTTTTGGCTTAGATCAAGTGTAGTATCTGTTCTTTTCAGTTTAATCTCTGAAAGTGTTCCATAGGAACACAACATTGATTAATCTTATTTTTGGTCTCCGTGGCAGGGCCCCTGTGCTTGCGCATGCCTTGCCACACAGTGTCATCGGGCTTACACTATCCCCGATAGACGCGAACTCCTTTTTCATCAATTTGGTCGGTATATCCGGCTGCTTGGAGAAGAAGGCTCTAGTAGATTCCTTTTCAAAAAAAAAAACTTGGATTGCACCTATATAAATCTTATACAACCAATCACTCGTGATACGTGCAGTAGAGCGTGTTTCTCACGTGATATTAAATATCATTTCGTGCCCAAATCACTCGCATTGTGCTCAACTTTTGATATACTTCACTCTTCACTCTCAGTAACTCTATAACGTCGCCATGGGTTCCGTCGTCCTTCCGCACCTGCGCACCGCTTGGCACGTCGACCAGGCCATTCTCTCTGAAGAAGAACGGCTCGTTGTATGCACCCAGCCTTCGCGTGTCGAGAAATGCGCATACTGATAAGTACGGATACAGGTCATCCGATTTGGCCGCGACCACGATGTCGACTGTAAGTCCCCTCTCTGTATGCACAGGCTACAACGACGTTCTAATTGTCCTCCAGGCATGCGCCAGGATGAAGTTCTTTTCAAAATCGCCGAGCGGGTCAAAAGTGAGTCGGGCACCCTCACTCAACTATCACAGGAAGAAAAAAAACTTCCGCTCTAGCAGCTCCAAACTAGCTCTACCACGCACGAAGTGCACTTTGGAGATCCACGAATGCCTATTAACAATCCATCTAGATTTCGCCGTGATTTACCTCTGCGACATTGACGAGGTCCCCGAGTTCAACACCATGTACGAACTTTTCGATCCAATGACCATCATGTTCTTCTATAGGAACAAACACATGATGTGTGATTTCGGTACCGGTAACAATAACAAATTGAACTGGGTGCTGGAGGATAAGCAAGAGTTGATCGATATTCTTGAGACAATCTATAAGGGTGCCAAGAAGGGACGAGGTCTCGTGGTTAGCCCGAAGGGTGAGTTGCAGTTTTCTTTCCAGTAATTACATTGATGTAGAGCTAATTGATTTATAGATTACTCGACGAGGTACCGGTACTGATTTTACTTCAGTCGTTGGTTGGGCTCTGTGTTCTCGGGTCCAATATTAGATAATGAAAAATGTTTATGACGTATATTTATATTCTTGGTCTAAATTGTAAGCGTGATCCCTTTGTGCTTATCTTGGTATGGTGATGATAGGATACCACGTACAATATATTGTGTATCAAACATCAGCCAGTTCTCCATCTACTTTATGAATTGCGTATGATGTTGTCCTGCTTCGTAAGTATTCTACCCTAGCAGCTTAATGATGCCAAATTCGTTATTGATGGCGAATATAGTATAGTTAAATAGCTGCCGAAATGTTTGCGATGACACTTGCAATAGTCGGAGTTCTTTTCTGTGGAATATAGGCGATGGATCCAGCACACATAGACTGCGGGCCAAATGTACTGTGACACCTCTGTAATCGAGCGGCGAGTTACATATACTATTCGAAGCGTCCTCGGTTCGCACTACGCAGCCGGTTACTCTTGTGGGCTATTGCCGCAGGCCCCGGACCCAGCCTCAAGGTTAGATCCTGGACAATATAGCCTGGTAATGAGGGCTTAGACTAAGCTCGGGGATGACTCGGCTCTCTAGCGCTATAGGGCCGGTAGGGACTTGCGAATCCTAGTCGTGTGACTCTAGATACATTGAAAGATATATTCAATGATGCAGAATCTTGGATTCTAACTTAGGACGTATGAAACCTATGAATGATTACATGAAAAGCAGAGGAAAGAAACGATCCTTATTGGTAGACCGAGTGGCAATGAGGACAACATCTCCCAGGATGTATAAGTGTATTGCATCGCATGCGTTCGCTACTGGGAAACCAGTACAGTCAAAGGTGTCCCAGCACACACTGTGATTAACTGAGTAGGATATTTAGCTCCACCTGGAGTAACTTATCTTCTGGAGACTGGACAATGGCTATTGGATAAGTATGTTGTGTCCTTTCAATACTAGACTGTAGTTAATAGAAGCTGGAGAATCATCCAACTACGGCCAACAACGCGGACAACCTCAGGCCCCACAATCTCTTCACTTTATTTTTACCTGACGTAAGGTCGAACCATTTATCGCCATCAATCCCACCTACACCAAAAAAACATAAAACAACAAATCCACCCAACAAAAACACGAATCAAAAACAAAATGATCGACCGCACCATCTTTGAAAGTCTCCAGTCCAAGATCGACGAAGAGGCTGCCGTCCGCGATGTACGTGCCAAGCCTTTTTTTTCCCTTCGAGCTCCAGGGAACTTAGTCTCAAATCTGACCCGATCCTAGGAACTCCATGAGATAGTACAGACGCTTGCTAGAAATGGTCTGTCTTACCAATGTCACAAACTCTCTGTTTCCCTCGATTAAATGGGATAAAGTATGTTCAGAGCTCCGATTAACATGTTAAAATAGGACGCTCCACAACGGCTATTCTCTCTCGAGCTCATTCCACCCCCTCAGATCAGTGTATGTAGCTGCCTCGAAAAGGGGAAAAAGAAGAATAATATGCTAACAAGTTAAGTGAAACCTGTCCTCGATGAGGCGACAAAGGAAATTCTCGCCCAGAAAGAGCAAGTCACTCGGCTTAAGGCCTTGGCTGACAAGCACCCGTTCTATAAATATAACGGCGTGTGGACTCGTGAACTGCAGAATCTGGTGTGTTACATGCCTCTCCTTCCTAGCGAGATATAGTAATGAGGACTAATAAGTGAATCAGGTATCGTCTATTGAGCTCTGTGCCTACTTGGGCGGGCTTGAGGAGTACAAGAGTAACAGTGCCGCGTCGTTCTTGACTATTGAGGAAGTTGGGAAGTTTCTTGATAGTATGTCCCTTGCATAAGGGGTTCCCATCCTTGTTCTATGATAGATACCTATGACTTTACCTCAAATGGTGCTAATGTGGATGTTTAGTCCCCGTCAACCTTAAGGAACAAGATGCGTTCCATCTCACGATCGAAGAGTATCTGCTCGCTCTGATTTCTATGGTTGAGGAACTGGTTTGTTCATCTACTTTCTATTGGCTGCTTGTCTTAGAAGGCGCTAACTATCATAGTCTCGTCTTGCTGTCAACTCGGTCACTCTTGGTGATTACGCACGGCCGGTGCAGATTGGCAGTTTCATAAAGGATCTGTTTGCCGGGTTCCAGCTCTTGAACTTGAAGAACGATATCCTGCGCAAGAGGAGTGATGGGATTAAATACAGTGTAAGTTTATCCATTATCGGAAAGTATGGGTTGGAATAATGCTGACACCTCCGTGCAGGTCAAGAAGGTAGAGGATGTTGTGTACGACCTTTCTTTGCGGAACCTGATCCCGAAGGGCAGTGATAACGCTTAGTTTGTGAACGAACAAAATCATACGTGGATTAATGCATAATGGCGATTAATTTATAATCTCATGACATTAGCCTCATGATAGTGGGCTGGAAGTGCCCCGAAGGAAAAAAAATCATACAACGAGCACTATTAAGATACATGTAACAAAGCATGGTATAACATATAGACTCCCAATCTCTGAAAAACTAGATTACGACAATTTAGCCTGCTCAGCAGACTCTCCTTCCTTAGCCTGAGTCGAAGCTGCAGTTCCATTCTTCTGTGACTTCTCAATCTCCTTAACGATGGTGTCCTCGAGCGACTCGGGCTTGGTGGTACTGGCCCAGCGACCGACAACCTTGCCCTCGGGCGAGATCAGGAACTTTTCGAAGTTCCACTTGATGCGCTTCAGGCCCAGCAGACCGGGTTGCTGCTCCTTCATCCAGGTCCACAGGGGTGAGGCCTCATTTCCGTTCACATCCAGCTTGCCCAAAACGGGGAACGTAACACCGTAGTTCAGCTGGCAGAAATGTTGAATCTGATCGTTGGAACCGGGATCCTGGCCGCCGAACTGGTTGCAAGGGAATCCGAGGACAGTAAAGTCTTCAGGGTACTTTTCCTTGAGCTTCTGGTAGAGTTTCTCGAGGCCTTCGAACTGGGGAGTGAAGCCGCACTTGGAGGCAGTATTGACGACAAGGATGGTTTTGCCCTTAAGCGGGGTGAGTGGGAAAGGAGAGCCTTTCTCTATTGGAGGAGAGGTCTGTTAGCAGGAGTCCCATATGTGATACAAGGAGATCGACAAGGAGATTATCAGCAGAAACGTACTGTCGACTGGCTCAAAGTCGAAGAAGGTGGTTGCGGAAGCCATGGTGTTTGTATGAAATGCGCTTAAACGAGGTTGTTGATGATTGAGTAGCTTAGCGGAGCTTGAGAGCGCCGAAGAAGAATAACTGCGCGGCGACCTTGCGACAGGGCTGGTTATATGCGCGAGGAAGTAGATTGGTGGTTTCTGGGATGATAAAGCACGTAAGACGATAGACGCAAACGATAAGGTTGATCGCATGCTCCGAGGGTAGGAATGGTGTGGTTTTATACACCGATCATGAGGTTTTGAGGAAGTACGTGAGGGGCGTGACGGAGCAAGCACGGCGCCGAGCCGGCATGTCATCATCGTACTGCGGGTGATTTGCCCGTTTGGTACACTTCGTCAACGGAAATGCATCTTCCGGCTAACCGAATTGGTCATCTTTGTCATCTTTCTCAGTCCAGACCTGTTGAAGGCGCTATGAAATCTGTAATCGACTCCCCATCATTTGACCCGTGGGTTCTTGTGGGGTCGGAAATAGGAATCTCGTCGCTGATTAGTGATCTTGTGCGCATAAAATAAGAATTGATTAAAGTTGATCAGAAAAGCATGGCTTGCGGGTCTCATCTCTTTTCCAGAATTCCAAATACATGAAACAGCCCACACCAACCCAGACGATCTACTAGCCTCGGGCAACGGGCCTCGGGGTGAGGAACAACGCCAAGAGGTGTATATACTCTTTTTGGCTCACATGCTGAGGAGCACCAGGAGCTTATGCACTCTCAAATGACACGAACATCGTTCATAATCCCCTGTATAGTTAAGGTGTACGTATTACACATTTATCGAGACATGGACTGTTCTGGAAACTCGCTCTCCTGGAGTAGTAGCTCGGCATTTGAGGCAGACATCCGACTGGCCTTCCTCAGGTATACAACTACTAGTAAGATAGTAGTAGCTGTCGTCGTCAACCCCCATCCAGGGCTATGGAGAAAATAGGAACAATTCTACAGTTAACTGGCTGGTGTCTTTTCATCCGCGAGTCAGAAAAGTAAAACAATACAAATAGACGGCATTCAATAATGAATGGAAAACCATTCCATCAACTGAGGATATATGAGATGCGGTGGAGCTGAGCTGGTTTTAACAGATATTATAAACTGTAGCAACTTTTGATATCACAGTTAACACCAACAGCAGAGACTTAGTGATATCGATAGATGAGTTGATAGTCCAGGCGTAGGTACTTACCTCAAGCATACTAGTACTCCAGTAATCAGATCACCTGCCAATTACAGTTAAAACAATCTTGGCAGCTGCCATTGCAATTCGCCGACTCTTTCACAATACATGCCCACTACCATCTAAATAGCATCTCAAAAAGATACATCTCTTCAGCTAGCAGAACAATATGTTTCATAATCTCAGCGACTTCGTTCAGCAGTCTGCCACACAAGGCTCAAATCTCAGAAAAAATACCCGCTCTCAGCCAAAGGTTAATCGATCTTGCGTGGAGTGTCGCCGACGGAAGATTCGCTGTGATGGTGAGCTTCCATGTGGGAACTGTAAGTGGTACAGAGTAGAAGGACGGTGCGAATTCCCGCACCGTTCAAAAAGACATACTGTTTCTGTCAAGTACACTGCTTCATCAGTCTTAATCTTATCTATACTGACTTCGGTCAAGGTCAGCTGAAGAGTTAACCCGGACTGTGAACCATCAGCGGATTATCTTGCAGAAGCTCTTCCCTTCTTATTCCTTAGACGCCCTCATTTGTCTCTCTCGAGAAGAACTATTGCAAGTCATCGTAGCCGAAGGACCGACGCGGGATATCGCCACCGCTACTGAGCTTAATACTACAGTGATCAGGGAGAGCGACCACAGCGATGAGGACCGGCAGCTTGAGGAAAATCGGAAGCTGTCTAAGGGAACATCGAATGTCTACGATGATGTCAATGGCTTGTCACTCTCATTCGATCGACAGCAGACCAGTCTAGGGATATTATCAGTCAGGTTTATCCTACGCCTCCTGGTTGAGCGATGGCCCACCGTGAGAACGAAATTATACCAGAAGAGATGTCGTTTGGAATTTCAGCACCAATCATATCCGCATCCGCGAGGACCTCGTGAAACCATTGGATCAGCGCCAGTTAGCATGATCGATGAGGTAGCCTGCATAGATGCGTATTTCAAGACTGCCAATTCCATTACCCCAATGATCGATGAGACACAGTTCCGCAGAGAATACAGCAGTGGGGTTCGGAAAGATGCTGGTTGGCTTGCTCTCCGTAGCATGGTACTCGTGGTGGGATCAATCGCTGCTAGCGAGGAAGGAAGCCGACGTAGTCATGCATTTTATGCATCTGTACGACAGCACATCGGGCTTGAGAGTTTTGGATCCGCTTCTATTGAGAGCCTGCAAGCTCTGTGTCTTTTGGGAGGGTACTATCTACACTATCGAAATACGCCAAATATGGCCAGTGCCGTTCTAGGCGCCGCATTCCGAATGGCAACCGCACTTGGTCTCCATAAGGGGCCCATAGAGCTAAAAAATCCTGAAGAGAGCTTGGAAAGCCATTTTGCAAGTAGAGAAGCCCGACGGCGCACGTGGTGGAGCCTCTTTTGTCTGGATACCTGGGCGTCCATGACACTCGGACGGCCAACATTTGGCAGATGGGATCCAGATACGATGGATGTATCGCTTCCGAAATATGGCAAGAATCAAAGCCATCGAGATATCATCATCACCGCATTCAGAGCGAATGTGGAGTTTTGCAAATTGGCCACTGAAATCCAAAGACGACTGGCCCAATCAGATCCACCTACGACTGGTGAAATCAATGATTTTGACACTGCTCTCAGAGGCTGGCACGAAGAGGCTTTAACGGCCATCTCGCATGAAAACTGCCCAGATGATTTTATTGTCGTCAGAGACTACATGCGGAATCGGTATATGAACGTCCGGATGCTTTTACTCCGGTCTGTACTTCTACGACATGTGCAAGATAAGACGCAATTCGAAGATTTGACAGGAGATGATAGAGAAGCTATCGTCAATTGTCAAAGACTTAGTCTCGAGGCTATTCGGAACATTGTTTGCTGTATGCGACCCGACTCATTTTGGGTATGGGGCAGTACCTGGTATCTCTACCAATCCTGCCTTGTCCCGTTGATGATGTTACTTGCCTTTCCATGTAGATCGGAATTAGCGCCTTGTCACTCCGAAATTGAGCAGGCTCTTGCAGCTTTCAAGTCATTTATACCCTGGAATGCAGCTGCTAGACGATCACATGATGTGGTTGAAAGCATTTACGAAGCCAGCAAGAATGTAACAGGACTCGAGGTGAGTAGGGGGACTCTACCACCGTTTGGGGAAATGGATATGGAATTTTGGAATCTCGCCGCAGGAGGCTTTGAATATGACTACGAATGGGAATCTCTAATAGACTGGGAGAAGACTTCTACCCCTAATGTGGAAGATTGACTATCTATATTCGGCAACCAATTATGGATTTCACAGGCTGTCGTGTCCAATGTACGTCCAACATGGGATATTAGAGGAACTGCGGATTCCACGGACGGCGATTATTTGCTCATAGCCAGGGACTATGTCGACCCCGTTATCTTGTAGCCAAATACCATCAGTCTCCTCAAAGACCAGACCCTTGACTGGCTTTCTTGCTGTGATGGACAGCACATTCTCTGCAGGAAGATATTTGACCTCTAAACCCCTGTCTCGAAAGGAGAGGTACTTGTAGGGCTGTGGCCAATCCATGTCTCGACTAATGATCTGACCATCAACACTGAGGGTTGCGGTCAGCACAAATGCATCGGTCTCTTTCAAACTCAAATCACCACTTGCTACTTCTGTTGTACCATTGGGAACGAGAACAACCTCGTACGAAACTTCTGGCTGCACATCTGCACCCGTTTGGATTGATATGAAGCGTAAGCTTAACATAGCGCGTATCGGCTTCAGATGGCTGGTCACAGCCCAAAGCTCATATCTCGTTGACTCTGCAGGCTTGGCATGTCCAGATGTCCATTCCTTGTGAGCCCTGGAAACACCAACTGCAATTGGCTTCAGAGTCCGCGATATGACATAGAATGCGGGCTTCTTTCGCAAATAATAGTCTACCACCGCCCACGAGGTCGTCGGCCAACAGTCGTTTAGTTGCCAAACCAAGGCTCCACCACAGAGGCGACTGTGGCCCCATTGCCGGCGCCAGCCCTGATACGCAAACTTCATAGCGTCGGATTGAGCAATTTGAGAGAGATGTACGTATGACTTATAATCAGGTGCGATTAGCCCTTTGTAGCGCTTGATTTAACATCGAGGTAGAAAACCTCCATCCACCCACCTGAAAATCTGATTTGACTCGGAAATTCTCAAGGATATAAGTGCCGAGTCGTCGCTCGTGGTCTCTGGCCTTGTTGTGGAAGTCCATGGTGAGAGATTGAGGGTACATCTCGTCTTCATCTTCAATAAATTTCTCGATTGTCGCTCGATGCGGGAATGCTTCCATTCCAAATTCACTGACAAACCGTCCGCCAACTTCCGGGAAGTTTTGATAAGGCAGCATTGTTCCGTGCCAGACTGTGTTGACATTAGCGAAGACTTCTATTGTCGGGGAGTTGCGACAGACTGTTCCACTGATGGATATCTCCTATTGTTGGATCTGCTGAATGCTTTCCTCCCCCCCAGGGGCTCGTTGGGTGGTACGGTGTAGCGTGTGATTCTTCCTCTACAACCTTCGGCAATAGGTCCTCATAGATATACCTGGCAGGAAATGTTGACTTGAGCCATGACTGCGGATCTTTATCAGTCTCGAAGTTATAGTCGAGATGGTATTTTTCTTGAATTTGGTAGTCTTCATTACTTCCTGCGTAGATCACGATGGAAGGATGATGACGGAGACGTTTGACATTTACACGCGCTTCTTCCTCGATGGACGACAAAAAGGATGGATAGGTAGGATACGAGGCGCATGCAAACATAAAGTCTTGCCAGACTAGGATCCCGAGCTCGTCACAAATGGAATAAAAGGCGGAGGGTTCGAAGATCCCGCCGCCCCAGATGCTGAGAGCTTGTCAATGCCAGCTAGGCTTCCGGGTGACGATGTAAAGGACTTACCGGATCATATTCTGATTCCCCTCTAGCAACAATTCGAGCCATTTCCTGTACTTGTCAGGAGTCATTCGAGGAAGGAAGCTATCCCCAGGTATCCAGCATGAGCCGCCGGCAAAAGTGTCAATACCATTAATCCTGAAAAAGAAGGATTGGCCGTGTTGGTCTTTCTCTTGAACAAGCTCTACACTCCTGAACCCGGTCAACTTTGAGACCTCATGTTGTACCTCATGATTGTTGTCAATGAGCTTGACACAGATTTCATGTAGGTCCTGCCGGCCATATCCACGCGGATACCATAATGCTGGGCTTTCGATCACGAATTCTGTCTCTGCAAAACCATCCCCAGTAGCATTTACTTCAGATTCAAAGAGCACCCTACTCAGGAGCAGAATCTTGAAATAAATACTACATCCTGAGCTCCCAGAAATTTGCGCCTTAAGACGACCTCGACATAACTTCAAATCCTGGCTTACTTCGCTCTCAACCCATACGTCTTCAACCCTAGCTGTATAGATCTCCAACCGAACTGGTCTCCACGGCCCAGCCGTCATCAAAATAGGACCCCAATCCCAGCCCCAATGATACCCAGCCTTCCGGACCGAGCTCCGCCCGGCTTCAGTTTGATGTGTAATAAACCGGTGCTCGGGATGTTGCTTAACACGCTCCCGCCCACACAACAGAGCAGACTCAAACAAGATATCAAGCGTCATGACGTTGCCAGACCCCGGCATCAAATGTTTTGTGATATTAAGTCGATGGGGAATAAACATATTATCGCTCTTTAGGATGAGTTCACCGTTCAATTTGGCAGTCGCGATAGTATCTAGGCCTTCGAAGAGGAGATCACATCGTTGACCGGCCTCAAGCTTTGGTGGTACAAACTCGATCCGATATATCCAGTCTCGCTCGCCAACCCACTGCACCTGAAGCTCATTCATCCCAACGAACGGGTCAGGTATCACACCGTGCTCGATGAGGTCGAGGTGTACAACAGTTGGCACGTTGGGAACGCTACGCCATGCTTCTGGACTGCTATCGCTGGCATCCCGGAATTGCCAGCCCTGCGAGAGCTCGAGAGACTTGAAGCCGGACATTGTTATCGTTTACTTACCAACCAAGGCTTGCAACAGCGGCAACACTAGTCCCAGTAAAATTATTTGTGGAATATTCAATAGAAAACATAACGGAGGCAAAAGACAAAAAAAAAAAAAAAAAAAACCTCATAAACATCAAGAAGTTGTATACCCATATTGAAACCCCGCTCTACTAGATTGACCCCGCAAAATCCAATCGGCCATAGCTGCCAAATCATAAGAATCTTGGCCTTTTACAGCCAATAAGACATATCTCACTATGTTAAGGTACTACGACACCAACCCCAAATCCCATGTCGACATGGCTGGCACACGGTATTTCAAAACCGCGTGTCGAAAACGGTTTAGTGGATCATCCCCTATGCATGACCCATACTGTATCAGACACGGAGTTTTATATTCGCGCATCATGATACCGGGGCGGTACGCTTAGTGCGTAATTTATTCAATAGGCACTAATCAAGCGTGTAGTATGCATGGGCGTTAGAGGGATCACAGTGGTTGGGTCGGCTTTGACTGATTGTGGGTGTAGATAGGTACGATTTGAACTGGTTTCTAGGGTACCAAACGAAAGGCTACAAGTCCTGCTACAAATTTTGGAAGTTTAGATACTAGGAAAACTCGATATACGGTAGTTGGATATGGTAAATTTGCATTTATGTGTTTATCTGAACTATATGACCGAAATTTATGGGTTCTACCATGCATATCTAAAGCATTAGAGCTCACATCTTAGCGTGGGCAGGAAAAGCCATTTCCACTGACTCTGGATTCGACATCGAGCTTCCTGAGTCGAAGGTCTGTGAGCCCACGAGTCGAGTATTTACCTGGATTGAAATTAGTTAAAATATAATGGTCAGGATATTCCCAACTCACATGCTGGAGTGACAGCTGATCAATACGTTGAACACCGAGAAGTCTCATAGCAGTGGCTGTTTCGTCGGCGAGGACTGTACAAATCAGTTATGATAAGCTCGGTATATGTTCAGCACTTGTGATAAACCCACTCTGCAATGTCCTTTCGACACCCTCTTGCCCACCAGCTGCAAGACCATACAAAGCTGCTCTTCCAATCCCCACAGCCTTAGCACCAAGCGCTAGAGCCTTGACGACATCTGTCCCTCTTTGGATGCCGCCGTCAACAATGACATCCAATCGACCAAAGACCTCCGGACAGAAGCGCCGAATCTCCAGTAGGACATGTACATGAGTCGACACGGTGTCCAATGCCCGGCCACCGTGGTTCGAAAGTACAATACCCCGGACCTGGGGCGCATGTTTTGCAGCGAGGATAGCGTCCTCATATGTTTGAATACCCTTCAGAACAATCGGCAGGGATGTATGCATCCTGAGCCAATTGAGCGTCTTCTCCCACGTGAGTGAGGCATCAGTTCCCCAGACCTGAGGCGACGAAGCTGCACCAACGGCGCGCAGTTCTTCCATCTTTTGTCGCTCCTCGACCTCACGTTTACCGGGAAATGGAGCGTCAAGCGTGAGACAGATGAATTTGATTTCTTTGATTGAGTTGATTTCGGCGATCCGCTTCTCGCTACGCTTCACGTCTTTTAGGCAATACAGTTGCCAGCCGAAGACTTGGTCTGGATGGGCGTTTGCGACAATTTGCTGTGTGGTCATCGAGGCGTTGTGGGAGATCAGTTGCATTGCCCCGAACTTTTGGCAGGCTGCTGCAATGCCGGCTTCACCCTGTGAGTGGGCGAGACGAGCCATTGCTGCTGGGGATATGTAGATCGGTAGCCCGAGCTTGAGGCCGAGGAAACGGGTGGAAAGATCGCATTCGAGACAGTTAATGAGTACTCGTGGTCTTAGTAGGATCGAACGGTATATGAGATTGTTGTGCGCTTTTGTGATGCTGTCGTCCGTTGCAGAGGAGTAATATGCCCAGCCCTTAGGGCTGAGTTTCCTCTTGGCAACTCGTTCGATCTCGGCGAGGTTCAACAGCGATGATAGTGGTGCGTCTTCGGAAGCCTCTTTAGATGCTGTCTGTTTGGAAACGCTTGTTGGCTCTGCAGCCTCTGGTGCGGATGCGGATAATATGCCCAAACATGCCTGAGGAGTAAGGTGATCTTCCAATAGACCTGGGGGATGTATGGTATCATACTCCTCTGTTGCATCTTTCCCAGCCAGGGCTAGGATAGCAGCAGAGCCGCCGGGATGATTTCCGAGAAAGCTAGTGACCTAGATTTGTTAATTGCAATGCACCCTGTTAAGAAAGCTATCAGATTCTACTCACGTCGTATACTTTGCCGTAGAGGACAACCCAGCAACTATCGGCGGAATCGTGTTTGGCGACTCAGTCACGTTAGTATCTTTTGCCCTCATACTTTCCCGCCTGGCATAGATTGATTCAATGGCTTACCTTCCGAGCGCTCTATCATAGTGAAGACTTGAAGGACCTAACAAGGCAGCTAATGAGTTTGATCTGACACGGCGTTAGCCGTCAAGGCAAGCTGGTCCTGCAACGTCTCTAGTATTGCTCGCAATGCCTGAGAAGAAACCTGGTGCCCCCACGCTTCTGACAGGGTAAATATCTCAACGAGACCCCCACTGCCCAGTGTCAGACAGACTTGTTATAGCACTAGTAATCGGTGTTACCGGGAGGTATTTAATCTTGTCTTCCGGACTAAACTCCAACCAACTGGATTAAAACCCACTAGCTCTTATACTATTCGTAGTAAAGTAATGCGAAGAGATTGGAAAATGTGGGGATAGACGGTCTGTCAACGGGCGGTCCTAACTTCTTGGCAGAGGCTTCCCCGTGGGGAGGTATCCTAGGTATCGGGGTACTATATAAAACAGGCTTTGGAATACCATTGGGACATATTATTAGTTGCACAGCTCGGTTTGACTTGCACCAAATCTTGCGATCTGATAGTATGACTGAGAAAAGAAGGAGTAAGGACCTTAATATGGCACCACCAGAACCTGAGCATCTTGAATCAGCTGGTCTGTCAAATGGAAAAGTTCAAGGAGATCCCCTTACCCTGGCAGAAGTTATTGAAAGAAACCGACCAGATCCATGGGGTTCGGGGTATAGAAAATTATATCTCATGTCTGCTTTGGTTTTTCTGTGCTCTACTATGAATGGTAAGTATCTTGACTCCGATGGTCACTCATGACAGGTAGCTGATGCTTGGTTCAGGCTACGACACGAGTCTCATGGGCTCTATTAATGCTCTTCCGAACTATACTGAGTATTATAATCTTCCGAACGAGGGCTCTGTGAGCACTGGAATCGTTTTCTCCATATTCCAGGTGCGAGTAACTGCCTATAGAGGAGACAGGTTGAAAGACTGACCAGACTCTATTAGATTGGCCAGATGGCAGGTGCACTTTTCATCTGGATGGCAGATTGGCGCGGGCGACGAACGCATATCTTCATTGGCTGTCTCGGGGTCTGCGTCGCCACAGTTGTCACCAGTACTGCGGAGAAGCTAAGCGTCTTCATTGGGGGGAGATTCCTGCTGTCGTTCTTTGCGACTTGCGCTCATACTGCTTCTCCCTTGTTGCTCGTCGAGCTTGCCCCTCCCCAGTATCGTGGAAGCGTAGCTGGAATGTACAACACACTTTATTATGTTGTATGCTAGTGATTCAGTTCCCATTCTGAAAAGAAGACCCTCTGATTGTCTTACTAGGGCTCAATACTCGCAACTTCATCCGTGTATGGTGCCCATCTACACTTGGCACACCGTAGCCATCTGGACTGGCGCCTTCCACTCTGGCTCCAGATGGTATGCCCTGGAATTGTCTGCTTGGGTATCTGGTTTGTCCCAGAATCGCCCCGTTGGTTGGTCCTCCCTCTCTGAAGAAAAGGCGAACACTAAAATCGTATAGGCTCATCGCAAAGGATCGCCATGAGGAGGCCCAAGCCTTCATCGTAAAGTATCATGCCAACGGCGACGCTTCACACCCAATTGTGGTGCTTGAGATGAACGAGATGAGAGATAATTTGCAACAAGAAGGTATTACGCACTGGCGTAACTTCTTTGATCTTTCCGTGCTTGTCAAGTCCCGTTCTCGCCGGTACCGTCTCATGCTCAATCTGGTCTTTAGCTGGTTCGGACAATTCTCGGGAAATAAGTCAGTCACCTCATATGTGCTTATTGATAAGAGAGAAAGACGACTAACTTTCCATACAAAGCGTCATCTCGTACTACCTTCCAACGCTGCTGAAAAATGTTGGAGTTACAAATACTGATACTCAGCTCCTGCTCAACATTATCTATGCGTTGACTGGATGGATCGCTGCCACGATTGGCACGCGTTTCCACGATATTGTTGGCCGCCGGAAAATGTTTCTTGGTTCAACAGCTGGGATGGTCATCTGTTTGGCAGTCACGGCAGCAACAGCTGCTGTCTTCCTTCAAAGTGGCAGCACAACGGCATCGTCAGCTTCGATCGCTTTTATTTACATATTCGGTGTTGTATTTGCGTTCGCTTTCACATCCATGCAACCTATCTATCCCGGTGAAGTCATGTCAAACGATATGCGGGCCAAGGGCATGGGAACATTCAAACTCACGGCTGGTGCTGCGGGCTTTGTCAATACCTTCGCGGCACCGATTGCTCTGGCAGACGTAAGTTCATAATACCCCTGGCTATACAACCAGGCTGCCCTTGCGTCAAAGACAACAGCTAACAATGGTAAATAATCATAGATCGGGTACTGGTTCTATGTCTTTTTTGTTTTCTGGGATTGCTTTGAGTTTGTTGTCATCTACTTCTTCTTTGTTGAGACCAAGGGTCGTACCCTAGAAGAACTGGAGGAAGTGTTTGAAGCCCCAAATCCTCGCAAGGCGAGTCTCAAAGTTCCATCGCGACATCGCCGTGATGAAGATCGGTAAACATATTGCAATGACGTGAAAATTACGAGTTTATTGACTTTATAGACCGGTCCTCCTGGTCATCGCTAGAGAAAACAAGCCAATGTATTGGATAGCTTGAAATGTACATATCGAGTAGTCCGGGCATTTGCCTGGCCAGTTATCATTGTCGATCCTAGACCAGTTGAAAAAACATGCCCTGCTTGATTTTGTCGATCTCTGACTTTTTCAGAGGGTCTTTACCGTTGTAGCTGCTCTCCCTGCGTTCTGCACTGCTCATCGCCGTGATGTCATATTGTATTCCTCCAATCTTAGGCTTCTTTCTCTCCCGTCCGTGGAGTTTCTCATACTGCTTGAGGACAGCAGCCCAGCCCCAAGGGTCGTCTTTAGCAGGTGGTAATTCGACTTGATCCAAGTCTTTAACATAACTGTCGAGGTTGCACGGACCGCGCAGCTCAATGTTGTATTTCTTAGCATAGGCTAGAATCTTTTCGTCCGAGTTATAGAATGCTGCAATCTTGTTCGTCTTATCATCATTTCCTTCGCAAATACCGTAGGCGCGTATGTCGGAAGTTGTGCACAAGTACAACGCCATAACCATTCCGAGGTTCTTGATTTCCGAGCCAGGGCCAAGAAGTCCCTGGGACTCTAGTTTGGTAAGCATAGTGAGAAACATAGCTAAAAACAGACAGAATGTATCGTCTGCAAGATCTCCATCGTCAACGCTATACCTGTCAGCAGAGACTCTCCATAGAAACGGGGATTCTTAACGTACTATGCTAAAGGAATGAACATATCACCGAAGATGGCGATACCCACAGCCTCACAAACGGCCCACTGCTCTTTCCAGTCGCCTTCGGCCTCTACGAAATCAAGGACCAGGTTTTGCGCGACCTCTACAAGACCATAGCCTGTGAAGTCGTTGAATACATCCATATCGAAAACATCCGGGCAGCGTATATCCGCATGAACGTGCTGGTTTGTGAACTTCCGCACGCCTGCGCGCGTGGCCACCCAAGGATATTCGGGATGGTCTGAGGCAAGTTTGTGGCAAAGGCATTTTTTGCCGCCATCGCATTTGGGGTTGGGGTTGGGGTTGGCATCCTCTACTGAGTCCTCAGGCTCATCATCTGCACTGTCCTCTGTCTCCCATTCTTCGTCTTCATCTTCGACCTCACTAGTGGGTGGGCAAAAGCAGACATACGAAAAGGCATGATCATAGTCACTTGTCACGAACCAAGAATAGTGGGCGTCCAGGTTGGCAGAGACGCAGTGCTTTGACCAGCGGTTGCTTCGCGGCTGTGGCTGTGGCTGCGACGACGTGCCGTTGCTGTTCTTATCGCTTTTGGGACCCTTGTTAGGCATGATAGATTGTAGTAGGAATAGAATTGATGATGACTGAAAGGAAAAAAGAAACCAAAAAGGAGAGAAGTTGGTTGAATGAAAAGGAGTTGCTTGGGGAACGGGGTGATGCGGACGCGTTTCTTTATACTGAGCAATAGAAGGGATTGTTAACGTGACCCACCGTGACAGGTCTAAAAGCTAATGACCCATGACTTGATTTTACTCAGTACACTCTTCAGCTTCCAATAATCTGTTTATCTCCATATATGGCCGTATGATTACAAGGTACGCCCATTTTCTATGTCGGTTTCTGTAAGGCTTACAGAACAGGTACAGCGTACTGTACGGAGGCTGTGCACGGAAAGTCATCGCCAGGTGGGTCATAGACTCGTGAATGGAGGCCAATAACAAGGCTTGAATATGTGGAAGCTTAAAATGCTATTGATCCAATGCCACGTGACACAGTGACCCACGGCCTCTGTATAGGATGTATACTTATTACTCCAAGTTGTACGGAGTATTTAGGTGATGTTTATAAAACACGCTAAGTGTATCAGAATGTCTCCTATTGGCTTAATAGTTGCATTCTCGTCGGCAATAGAAATGTGCCTAGGCGCTACGCGAATCATTTTCCCATGCTTATGAAGTTTATCGAGAACCACTGCTCGATTGCCTCGACGGGATTGAAGGAGCAGCCAGAGATTAGAAAATGCCGCCACACCGGGGGCCGGAATGTCGCGAAGCCTCCATAATCTGAAATATGGGACGAGATAGTAGAGGGCCACCAAGCTTACTAAGGCAATTGATAGATTCGGGATTGTGAGTACCGTTTCCACATCTATAGTTTTAAGCATGGTGTTTTGTTGATTGTCAAAATATGGCTTATATTATCGTGGTTTCGACCCCTCTGAACAAGTGAAGAACGGGACGTACTATACCTCCGTCTTTGACTATGATTCTCTTATAAGGGCAATGGTCTCATCCTTGCGGCTTTTCTTTGGTGTCCCACTCTGGCCCTCCTTGCATTGGCCGATTTCCATCTCTACAGTGGTCTTTCTCGGCGGGGAGTAACACGCCGAATGCATGCGTTCATCGTGGATGACACGATGACACGCTAACTCTGCATCGCGCCGAGCCATTCTTGATTCCTTGCCCCAATTGTACCCCGCAGATCTTCGTAGAATATGTCTGGTCTAGGGCGTATGTCGGGCTCTGAAGAGAATAAGCAGCATTGTCGTCAATCGGACAGTCAGTCTCCGATGGTGCTGTGTTTCCGCGGTCTATCGATCTTCAACTAGGGTCTTTTACCCCGTACGCTACAACATCTACCCGCACGGAAGGACCCGTTTGGCCCACATCAGATATCAACGACAACCTCAAGGATCTGAGAGCAAAAGTATACTGATTGAAATATCCATGAAAAAAGTGTGTAGTTTCTTGCCTAGACACATATAGTAGTCCACTTCTTTTCAACACCCGTGTCCTCTCTTGCATTGTCGACTATTTAAATATGGTTGTTTGACCTGCACCTAACTGATCTGCCCAAAATCTGCTGAACGGATAGTCGATATAGCCGTCAGGGCTTCCAACTTTATAAAAAGTGGCTCGCTCATACTGTGTCAAAGGTAGGCTGTTAGCCAGCCTGAAAGGGAGATCGGGATTAGAGATAAAATGTCTCCCGAAGGCGAATGCAACGTTTTCATCCTTCAATTTGGACCCAATTGCCTGATTAGCCTTTTCCAATGAATAGCCCCCAGCAAGAATAATAGGGCTTGTTCTTCCCCATGCCTTAATGGCGAAGTCTAGACTTTCGTCCTCGCGCGTTGCTTTATCGGCATTTCCTGAAACCCGTGGTTCAATAAGATGTAGATACGCAAGACCGAGCGAACTTAGCTGGGAGATGAGATGCGTAAATTGAGGAATCGGGTCTCCCGTACGCATCCCTTGGAATTCACTGAAATGTGAGAGACGGACCGCCGTTCGATCAGGTCCGATTGCTTCGGAAACTGCTTTCGCAACTTCAAAGCAGAAACGTGACCTGTTCTCAATGTTTCCTCCCCATTCGTCGGTTCGCCTGTTACATGTATCTTGAATGAATTGGTCGATCAAATATCCATTCGCCCCGTGGAGCTCAACCCCATCAAACCCGGCCTCCATTGCATTCTTCGCCGCTTGAGCAAAGGAGGCATCTAGATGTTGATTGTTGTAGCGCCAGTGTGGACAGTATGTTCCGACTATATAGCATGGGTACTCTTAAGTAAAGTTTCCTGAGTGAACTGTATTGTATTCCAGTTTTTGGTATCCTTGAGCAATGAGACAGACACTTGCACGGGCCAAAGACTCACTACAAAGAATGTTGCATTTCAACGTCGTTGAGCATACGGTGCCCTGTCACCACATCCGGGAAAGGCCTGGCGTGCCCATGCGAATAGCTTCCCAAAGGTTCGGACATCTTTGATTTAGAAACTAGGAGGGTCAACTGAATGATTGAACAGGAAGTATACGAGCCCTTGTGGGATGATGTTTACGAAGAGATGAGTGCTCTTAAAAGGAGAATTCGAAGCATCTGGATCGCAGACGTCAGCCATCAAGGGCAAAGTGGAGTATTGAATGAGCGTATATAGGGCGATGATCGTTCGTACTCCTATTCTGAACACGATTATTTTCTTTCGGTTAACATAGGCCAGCGAGTTGGATGGACCATGCGAGAGATTTGCTCGGCTTGATTCACCGATACCAGAGTGATATGCCTCACCCGATCATTGGCGTTGGCCACAGTATGGGCGGAGTGCAGCTGTATGTCACCTTATCCTTTAGATGTTCCTATGCACCGACAATTGACATAGCCCAGTGCTCATCTTGCATTGATACATCCGTCGCTCTTCCAATCTCTTATCCTTATTGAACCCCCTCTCCGGAGAGAGAATCCCAGCAAGAAATACGCCTTGGGTTCAACCTACAGGCGTGATCTCTGGCCATCCCGCGAAGATGCAATCAATAGGTTCCGGGCTAACAAAGTGTTCAAGGATTTCGACGCACACGCGTTTGACGATTTTGTGGAATACGAACTTCGAGACCTACCGACTGAGTTGTATCCGCGCTATGAAAATCACGGTACAACACCGGTGTCCTTAACAACCACAAAGGCCCAGGAGCTATATACCTACCTATGGCCAACCTACCAAGATGGAAAGGTTGGCCTTCGAGAGGGAGAATGGCGGAGGGAAATGCGCCCGGAAGATCGAGAGGAAGGGCATCCATTCTACAGACCTGTCTTTTTGTTCCACCGTCTCCCCCAGCTACGACCTAGTGTGCTGTGTATCTTTGGAGAGCGATCCGAGATCTCCACAACACCAGTCCGCCGGGAGAGGTTAGAAATGACCGGATCCGGTGTTGGAGGCAGTGGAGGGACGCATCGAGGAAGGGTCAAGGAGGTTGTACTCCCCACAGGACATTTGGTTCCCATGGAGAATGTATGGGAGTGTGCTCGAGTAAGTGCTTCTTTCTCCCACTTCGAGTTGACTAGATGGGAGACCGACCAACACGAATTCATTCAAGAATGGAACGCAAAGCCTCGGGCGGACAAAATTGTAGTTGACGATAAATGGAAAGAAAACATTGGTTCCGTGGCTGGGAAACCAAGGATATAGAGACATAAGATTCCCTCGAAGTAAGAATGTCAACGTGGAAATGTGCACTATAACAAGATTTATCGCAGTAACAGCTTAGTACACTGTTCATTTGTTCATTTATATTTTTAAAAACATTCATAATTCCCGGAAAAAAAAAAAAAAAAAAAAAGGTCCAACCAGATGATTTTGAGAACCAAGAATATCATCCTATCCGTTCGGCAGCCAGCCAGCCGGGCAGGGAGTTTCAGGTTCAGGCGGTTCAATATCTCCATCCTGAGGGATAGGATTGGCCAATGATACAATGAATATCATGAATAAAAGGACGATGAAATGTTTCATCTTGCTTATTCAAAACGTGGAATGTATGTTGTATTAGTTCGGGTGGGTTGAAATGAACAGACTCTTCAATACTTGGATTTTGAACAATCAAACCGGTTGCAGATGATTATATATTGATGAAGCCATGGTAATCAGCTGAGGTTAACTCATAGAATGCAATGAGTTTATTGAACTCCCCGGTTGAACTAGTGAGAAATAAAAGAGAAATCGATATGACACCTAATGTGACACTTGCAGATTTGGCAATAAATTTTATGGTGGATTCCATATTGGGTCACGCGGAAAGCACACCGCGTTTCCTATTACTGACTTCAGTACTAAGTAGTAGTAGTGAGAGATCGTCCAGCCAATGCAAAGAAATATGGATAAAAATCTCTTTCGTAAAGATGCTTACAGGACCATACTTGCCAAGCTTACTAGCGCCAAAGATCCCCCTCCGTACAGACTTGATTGAGCTTCGTTAGTGGTTGAACACCATGCTTACAATCTGTTGCTAATACTATTTTCCCATAATGATACCGTTCAGCGTTCCTACTTTAGCTGGCTCAGAGCTCCAATATGTTGAGCAAGCGGTGCGGAAAGGCACCCTCAGTGGTGATGGAGAATACACCGTCTTATGTCAAAACTGGCTGGAAAAGAAATTACCAGCCGCCAAAGTATTCCTGACTCCGTCTGGCACGGCCGCCCTCGATTTGGCGGCATTGGTCCTGAACATCCAACCGGGAGATGAAGTCATTGTCCCTAGCTATACCTATGTTTCTACCGCAAATGCCTTCCTACTTCGTGGGGCCTCGCTGGTGTTTGTGGACATTGTGCCCGAGACCATGAACATGGACATGGAAAAGCTCCAGGATGCGATCACTGACAAGACCCGTGCAATCGTCCCGGTTCACTATGCCGGTGTCGCTTGCGACATGGACGCTCTTTTGCACATCGCCAACAAACGCGGGATCTATGTTGTGGAAGACGCGGCGCAGGGTTTGTTCTCAACCTACAAAGGTCGTGCGCTGGGCACAATTGGTCACATCGGGTGTTTCAGCTTCCATGAGAGCAAGAATGTGACAGCAGGCGGACAAGGTGGCGCGATACTCATTAATGACCCTGGCCTTGTCGAGCAAGCGGAAATTATCAAAGATAAAGGCACCAACCGCCAAAGGTTCCTGCGAGGGGAAGTCGCCCACTATACCTGGCAGCAGGCTGGGGCGAGCTATACCCTCAGCGAGATACAGGCGGCCTACCTTTGGGGCCAGCTGGAAGCGTCTGATCGGATACAAAACCAACGTTTGGAGATATGGAATTTCTACTACGGGGAATTATCTAAGCTAGGCAATGAAGTACCCATTGCTCTCCCTTTGGTACCATCTTACTGCCAACACAATGCACATATATTCTTTATTAGAGTAAAGGATGGAGAGCAGCGGAGAGATTTCATTACCGCGATGAAAGAGGCAGGAATAACAGTTCTCGCCCATTACAGCCCTTTACACTCGACGGTCCCCGGCGCCCAAGGTCGGCACGTCCTTGACCGACAGGACTTTGCGACTCGGGAAAGTGAGAGGTTAGTTCGCCTTCCGATCTTCTATACGATGACTATGGAGCAAGCACGGAAGGTGATTGAAACAATCAAGTGGTATTTTATGAGACGATTGACCCATATATAAAGACGCAGCGAATTGAGTGTGCTCTTTCTATCTCTTTTCCTCCAAACATAACCCCATGAGCGTAGTATTACAGCCGCACTACACGGTGGCCACCACGGTTCATTTTGTTCATTTCCTCAATATGCCACTGAATGGTGTGTCTTAGGCCCTGTTCGAGAGATATGATCGGTTTCCACCCCAGTTCTTTCAGCGCTAGAGAATTGTCCGGTCGTCGAGTAGTAGGATCATCCACTGGCGATGGAAGGAATTTAATACTGACCTTGGGTTGCTGAGTAGTAATGTTCGCTACTAGCTCCGCAACCATTTCCGCTAACTGTAGTATGGTATTCTCGTTATCGTTGCCTATGTTCACCGGTCCTTTCGCGTAATTGCTATTCATCAACTTATAAAGGCCGTTCGCGCAGTCACTAACATATTGGAATGAACGTGTCGCCGATCCGTCGCCAGTCACCTGGATTGGTTGTCCCGATAACGCGCTCGCAATGAATGAAGAAACGACTCTTCCATCCGAGGCAGCCATTCGCGGTCCGTACGTGTTGAAAATACGGGCAATCCGAGTATCAGTCCCATGCTGTTCCCGATATCCATACATCAGAGCCTCCCCGACTCGTTTGCCTTCATCATAGCAAGATCGGGGACCAAACGGATTCACGTTCCCCCAGTACGTCTCCGGTTGGGGACAGACCTTGGGATCTCCGTAGACTTCTGCGGAACCGGTAGTTCCAATCAGTAGTTGTTCTTTGTCATTAGAGGTATATGGTGGCAGCACGTTACGAACCAGACGTGCTTGTGAATAGAATTCGGATCTTGCGTTTTGTTGCGAATTCTAGCAGACTTTTCGTCCCTCGGTAGCAGGTATCTAGTGTGCCAATATGGTCTTTCTGGTACTGAATAGGGCTCGCCGGACAAGCAAGGTGATATATCTGGTCCACGATAGGCAATTCTGGTAAGGGAGCTCGCACATCATGGCTGTTCAAAGCGAGTCAGTATCATAACCCTTTTACAACCCAGGTCTCCACTTGCTGTATAGCTCACATACCGGACAAGGGTAAATTTGGTACTAGACACCAAATGTTTTAGGTTGTTGGGAAAGCCCGTTTGGAAGTTGTCCAGGCCAATTACCTCATGACCTTTCTCTAGCAGAAGGTCTACAAGATGTGACCCTAAGAACCCGGCCGCCTACTAACATCAGTATATTAAGTAATTTTCGTATATTCTTTCCGCAAGGCATACCCCAGCAACCAGGATCTTGAGTTTTTTATCTTCTGGTAAATCTTGGCCAGGCATTTTTAGTCAATTTTGGACCCAAAGTACTCTGCTACTGTTTTGCTGAAAAGAAATGAGAGTGATCTACGTTGGGATCTCGCGGAGTAGGTTATATACGCGAAAGCTTAAGCCCCACACAGCTGGCCAGAACTTTCAGAACCTAGTATTTTGATTGCTTCGCTAATCGCATAAAATAACTGACTAGTAGAAATTAGTCTGAATCAGCTGAGAAGGGCGGTCTCTTGAATTTTAGGAAGGATCTTTCAGTATAACAAACCTCGGTTCCAGCAACAACATCATTCCCCGCAAGAGAACCCACACCGATATTCTTCCACGTATCTCTCTATAACTGCCCAAAGTCCCCAACAAGCTGGCAATGGTCTCCGCGGTCGTTTTCGGGTATCACAACGTAGGTGTGAGGTGCCTATCGGTTCTACTTGCACAAAAGATCGAGGTAAAGCTGGTGGTTACTCATTCAGATGATGAGGACGAGAATATCTGGTTCGATAGTGTATCGAACCTCGCGAGCCTACATGGAATCCCCGTGGTTACCCCCGACAGTCCAAATACAGAAGATATGATTACGCGTCTACGATCGCTGAACCCCGATTTTATTTTCTCTTTCTACTACCGCCAGATTCTGAGTGTGCCGGTACTGGAGACCGCGCGCCGTGGAAGTTACAATATGCATGGCTCCCTGTTGCCTCACTATCGTGGACGTGCCCCCGTCAACTGGGCTCTCGTGCACGGTGAATCCCAGACGGGTGCCACCCTCCACGAAATGGTGAGAAAGCCCGACGCAGGCGATATTGTGGGGCAGATGGCGGTGCCTATCTTGCCCAATGATACGGCCTCAGAGGTCTTTTCCAAGGTCTTAGTCGCGGCAGAGTTGGTTCTCTGCCAAACCTTACCCGAGATAGTGAGTGGGACGGTGGTAGCGAGAAAGATGGATCTCAGATCCGGGTCCTACTTTGGCGGACGCAAACCACAGGACGGATTGATCGATTGGGAAAGAATGGGGGCACAACAGATTCACAATCTTGTGCGAGCTGTGACAAATCCGTACCCTGGGGCGTTCATGGACACGGCGAGAGGACGAATAACCATTTGGCGCACATTGGTGGTAGCGGATAGCCCTAACTCTACCGCTCAGCCTAGTCTGCGGCAGGAAGGAGGTCGCTTGCTCGCAACAGCTTGCGATGGAGGGGTCCTGCGCATTATCCATGCAGAGTTGGAAGGTCGAGTGTTGGACCAGGAGACATTTGCGAAGATCTTCGGCTCTTCATACCCACTTCCTTAAACACTACCCAATAAGGTCATGCCATGTGGCGTAGTCTACACAATGAGGGGAAGAAAGAATGACACGACGCAAGTCCCCAGTCAGCTTGCACAAAAGCCTACTCTAGATATCCATTTCGACCGGAGACAGCCCCATAGGCGCCTCCGCCTCTACAGAACATATCTCGTAGATCTTCAATGAATGACTCCGGCGCTTCCCAGGCAAAATAATGGCCACTCCGGTCCTTTTGCCGATCGAAGACAATTGGTCCTAGCTTTCTCCCCCAGGTACTTGGACTGATTCGCAATTACATGGGCAGATGACTGTATCCTATCTTGACCGAATCAATCCATTCCCCTGTACGGGCGCGGGTCACCTTGTTTGGGACACTGTCTTTCCACGTATGCGTTGCTCTATAGTAAATCCGCAGGGAAGCGCCCCTTGTAGTTCGTCAGTATGCTGTGTCAAGTTCACTTGGGACGATATTGAGTTAGGAGCGAAGTACTCACGGCACAGAGCGGTGCTGAACCAGTAGATGCTGATCCATGTACACACTTCCTCTTCCGACCAAGGATAATGGTCAGACCAATCATGAAGCTTTTCATAAATCCATGCCAACAGAGCGACCGGACTATCCGTCAAGGCATAGCTAACAGTGGTAGGTTTGGTCGCTTGCATAGCCCGGTATCCGGAGCTCTCCTCAATGAACCACTTGCGACGCTCCATGCCCTTTTTCTCTCGCTCCGTGTAGGGAGTCACGGCATGCTCAATTGCAAGCAAAGGATACTTCCAGAAGCCCAGAGGTCCTCCCCCGTAGTCGAAGTTGATATGAGTGACCTTGCAATACTGGGGATACAAAAGTGCCATCGTACGAGTGATGTAGTATCCCCAATCGCCGTTTTGGGTCACATATTCCTGATAACCCAACCTTTGCATGAGCTTATGGCAGGTCTCTGCGTATTGCTCCAGACCGAAGCCCCTTCTACTTGGCCCTTCGCTGAAACCAAAGTTGGGCAACGAGATCCCGACCACATGGAAGGCTGGGTCGGCAATACCATCGCCTGAATGAGCTTGGATGATCTTAGTTCCTTCCAGAAATGAACCTGGCCATCCATGTACGTATAACAACGGAATAACATCGGAGATTGAAGAAGGCTGATGCATAAAATAGATCCTCAACGGGTCAAAACCATCGACCTATATCTTCGTCGTGAAATGGGGTAGTTGGTTCAACCTGGCTTCTGTGGCCTTCCAGTCGAAATGGTCACGCCAGTAAGTGGCGAGTGGGCGCACTTCATTGACGGGAGTCCCAAGGTCCCACCCTGCTTCGTCTAACTCATTCGGAAGCCGAGCATTTGCGAGGCGACCTTTTATATCACTGATTTGGTCCGTTGGAACGTTTATAGAGAAAGGATCGATGGTGCTCATGATATATAGAGCGTGGGTGGTAGGCGCTATCGGAAGTATGGGCTATGTGAAAGTGATGAGGGCGATAGAGAATCAACGGATGGATGGATCCTTAAAGGGTAGACTTATACTTCAGGAATCTGGTCAGCATAACTTGATTTGTAAGACGCCTCGGAGGATGATCATCGTGCAATCCTGCTGTAACGGAAGGGTTATACCTTAAACCTACGGTATACTAGGACCCAAGACATGGGCTTCTCTCAACCGGAGCCTAGGTTCCACAACTTCATCTCCTCCCATCACACTATCCCCAGGGCATGTGGGATCTCTAGACCAGGAACTACTGATACATACCGGAAACGTGGGTAGCATATCGCAGACCTCCCTGCAATAGGAGTGCCGGAATCTTCGACCCCTGTTCGGAATTCTGGCTAAAGTTGTGTCCTGTCTACATAGGCAGGTAGCGCTGACCACAACTCGCGGCTATGGTAGTTATGGCGGATATGCCTAATTCATACCCGGTTGGGGGTCTAATATCTACGTTCTACGTATACTGATCCAGAGCTTAAAGCATCTAGAAAAGCGGCTCAGGTCTCGATTAACATAACAAAATCCGGATAAACAGGTCATCTTCCAGCGTCCATTTCAACATATGGGATACTTTGGCGCAAAGTTGCTACAGTATCGCTTTCGTAGAACCCCTGGCCTTTTCTTTTGCAATCATCTCTCGAAGCTCGTGCTCATGTCGAGTAGGTACAAAATCACCATTGAGATAAGGGGAGCTTTCACCTTGTTCACCAAGCTCGTAGGGCGCAAATCCGCTTCCCAGGAATCCGAAGCGATTCCCCGAGTGGTATTGGATATCATAGTCCTCCCACTGGGGAGTCTTGACTGCCTCGAAGAATGCCAGACGCGACCCGGGCCACATCACCACTGGTCCATCCAGGCTGCCTTGCTTGAACCAACTGGCACAGGGATCTGCCCAGCACGTCCGGGGAAGGTAAGCACGGGCATGTTTCATGAAGTGTGCAATCACATCCTCCCTCGGCGTTATACGGCGAATATGCTGGCTGTACATCTTTTCAATAACCTGAAGAAACTAGCTGCTCATGGCAGTAAGGATCGGTAAAATAGCTCCTTGTGCAACAGGTGTGAAGGGGCCCGTGAACATAAAGTAGTTTGGCACACTGGGAGCTGCAATGTATGACTCGGGAAGCTCAGCCCAGCGATCAGATAAAGCAATAACATTTAGCCCAACCACGGGGTATTGGGGCCGATAGGACGTGTCGAACCCAGTAGCACAGATAATCACGTCACATTCATATTCGTTTCCGGCGAGATCTTTGAAACCATTGGGGGTAATGGAACCAACGGTTTCAGTAAAGACTGTGGTTTTCTCACCGACCAGAGCTTCGAGGTAGCCATTGCCTGGTGTCGGTCGTCGACGACCAACATTGAAGTTCTTAGGAATGATCTTGTCTATGAGACGCGGATCTCCGCCTAGTTTTCGTTGAATTTCAGTTATGTTACATCAGCGCCTCACCGGGATTACCCTAGAACCTTCTCATACTTTTGTGTTTCAACAGCTAGCTTTAGGACAGCAGCCATTCTCTTAATATCGCACCATAACTTCTGAGTGTGCGTACATCACCGGCGGTGCCTCCGGACTAGGCAAGGTCATTGCAACCGCTCTCGCTGCGAAAGGCATCAAGGTCATAGTCGCAGACAAGGATACCGCCGGTGCCGAAGTCCTTGCAAAAGAACTGATTGGATACTCGACTACCGTTGATGTCACGAACTGGCTATCCCAAGCCGATGCATTCCAGAAAGCAGTCGACACCTTTGGCCGGGTGGATTACGTCGTAGCTAAAGCAGGCATTGGTGAGAACCAGTGGATGCCAGTTCATCGAAATAGTAATGCAGGCTTTGAGAAACCTGATCTCAACGCAATCGATGTGAATGTAACTGGCACGTTATATACGATTTCCCTGGCAGTCCAGCAATTCCGACGGCAAGACCGTGATGCCCATGGCTTCCGTGGCAAAGGTAGCGTCTCCGTTTAATGTGAAAAATACCACGGGCCGAATGTTGACAATCGCAGTGATCATAGCGGGATCGGTCTGTGGCATCTACTGTTGTCCTGGTCTTCCAATTTATATGGCCTCAAAACATGCTATTACTGGCATAGTACGTTCCTGGGGCAAGGCATTGCCTGCTGAAGGTATCACGCTCAACTCATTAAACTCTAATGTTTTGCGGATCAACTTCTCTACCGGCCAGTTCTATGATAGCCTCGACCAAGAGGGCCTTTTGACCCCGGTTTCAGGCGTGGTGGAAACCTGTGAGCATATCCTGGACGTTAAGGTGACATTCAGCGGTAATTGTTTTGAGATTGGGCCAAATTATGCCTTTGGACAAGGCGCTGTTCATCCCATGTTTCCAGACTTTGTGGATGAAAAGCAGAAGACAGTGTTTGACAGTTTGGTGGAGCGAGGACAAGCTAAATCCTCCATCACATCTGGTCAGTAATGGCTGCCAAAGTGGGGCTTGTAGTGAGGTTTAGATTATCTTTGTACGGATACACTGAAATGAATCACGTACTCAACATAGACCTCTGATTTGAAGCGCTGGCCAGGTTTCTCTATCCCCTGATCAGAAGCAGCACCCTTCGGAGCGAAAGACTTCGGGCCCCAAGTTAAAGGGGAGGAAACACCCCCTCTCCGAGGATTTAATATTCATAGTTCAGTATTCCCAGTGTCCTGAGAGTACGTACCAACGCAAGATTCATTATTTAAGCCTTCCACAGCTAACATGAACCCACTATCCACTGAATTAAACTCATGGATTCGACCCACAAGTCCAACCTGTCACTCTGCGAAGATTAGAAGCAGGATACCTGTACCTCCCAATGCATCTTTTCGTCCAAGGAGCACCCAAAGATCAAATCCGCCGAGTACCCTCAATGTCATGGCTCATCTCTCACAAGCCATCCAATACAAACATCGTCTTCGACCTTGGCATCAGACAAGACACCCACAACTATCCACCAGCATTATACGAACGAATGCAAAGACTCGTCCGCGCTGAAATACCACAAGAAGTTTTCAGTAGCCTCCAAGAAGCGAACATTAACCCCGATTCCGATATCGACACGGTCATATTCTCCCACCTCCACTACGATCACACCGGCGATCCGTCCCGGCTGGGACCAGGGACCAAATTGATCATCGGACCGGGAGCAAAACGTTTCATCTGCGGTGCAGAGACATAGCCCGAAAATGGGTATTCGCATTATGATTCCAGGGGATTTCCCTTTGGTCGTGTCATTGAACTTCCGTATGGAGATGATCGAAATTACTGGACTCGATTAGGACCCATATCAGCGGCGCATGATTGGTTCGGGTGATGGATCTGTTCATTTAGTCAATGCGCCTGGCCATCCGTCGGGACATTTGAATCTTCTTGTCCGTGCGGGACTTGATGAAAGGGTTTATTTGACTTGGGATACTACGCATGATTGCGCTATTCTGGCCGGTATGGCCCATACAGCTGTGTACGAGGATGAACGGACTGGAATCGCTAAGTGTGCCCATGAGGATAAACATATTTCTGAGGAGCATATCTCCCTGGCCCGGACGTTGAAGGAAAGTTTCCATGTTGAAGTCATCTTGGCTCATGATAGCGAGTGGCTGGCGAAGAACGATTCGAGGTTTCGCGGCTAATATTAAGAAAAGTGAGACCAAGAAGAGAAAGGCTTCTGTCACATGAGAAAGGGGGCTTTTGGAGGAGATGTGTCAAGAAGCACTTGGCTTGAGATTTGGACGTTAATCTTGTAACCATAACAAACATACGTTTTGATTTGAGTGACAATGAACTGTTCGTAATAAACAAACGTCAAAGAGAAGAAGAATAAAGGGAAAAGGGAAGAATGAATAAAACAAAACAGTGGACACTGTATCATCCCCATGGCTGTAGGTACTTTATATGATCGGATCTTCGAGGAAATCTTTAGTAAGAGAAGCATCAACAAACGGCACAGGGGGGCAATCCATGGGACCAAATAGTGGATCTAGATTACCGCCAATCTCAGACGTCTCGCTTGAATCATCTACCCCCGAAATCTGACCGTTGCGGCCCCTTGGAAAGGTGGTGAATATCAGATCCAGATCGAAGGCATCAACTGATTGCGTATTAGTGGCCGAATCTGTGTATTTATCAGCGAATGTGTACCACAGTCTACGTCGCAAAGTACGACTCCTTACCGGTTTTGAGATCAATATTGTTTACTGAAACCAGTTGCTTGATGATATTCAAAGGCCGGTTGACACCAGGATTTGCATCACACATGGCCTCAAGACAGCTCAGACTGGAGATCAGTTGGGACTTGTGCTCACAGTTGCTAGTCGTTTCCCCAGTAGCGTTCCGTACGTGTATAGTACATGCAACGTAGATGGCATAGCTTAGGATATATGGCGCTTTACACAGCCCACAGGCCGCCTTATAGGATTGCGCGATGCATGATATCGGTGCAACATCAACATCTTCATCTTCGGAATCTATCTCATCAAGGAAGCTACTGCACCTCTCTCAGACACCAGTGACACCTTTCCCTTCCTTGTCTACACTAGTAGCCTTCTCAACTTGCTCTTTATCGACCACCTGTCCGTCCAAGCGTGTTCCCTCCACTGGTATGGTCAAAAGCAATTTGTCACGTTCTTCAGGCGACGCTCATTTGAGTTGAGAGATGAACGACTTAAAAGTAGTTCTTTCCCGCCGCAGCTCATTGAGTTGGGCAATTGTAGGCCTATATTGACATTGCAAGAATGGTCACTCAAGGCTGACAGCCACCAACTCCAAAGATGCCTACCTTTTCCTGGGAGCTTCCAGATGACATGTGCATTCTCGCTTTTGGCTTATACATGCTCCGCATCGAGGTCTTGCATTATCACAACGGATCTTTCTATTGCGACACGGTAGACATTAGCGAGCGATTATTTTGGGCTGGGTTGTGCTAGCATTGGACGCCATGGGTCATATAGACTAAAGTGCTGTTGAGCAAACGTAAAGCAATTCCCAAGAGCAATCTGCTATGACTATATACAGCCATCTAGACTTTGGAGAATGCGGGGTCAAGAACGATCTGTTTTACATTCAACAACCGAAGAGACCTAAGATAGTGTAAATTCTTGCCACTGGAAGAACTGGCCCAGGGCTTCATTTTTGCTTTCTTTTACCATCCGACATAACCGGTCGGGGCGCATTTCCATTCTATTCATTTCACAAAGAAAACGTAGAGCAGGAATCGAGCAGGCAATACTCAGTGTAACTTGAAATTCTATTCTGTTACTAATCAAGTAAGTCGCTTGAGCCAAGTCATCTCCAGATAGTTGCTAAATGGTGTATAATTATTTCAATATGAATTATACAAGCGGAGTAGCCCGGTCCATTAGAATCATGCTAGCCAAGCTTGACAGTTCGAGTTTCTGTCCTGATCGATTAGCTATCTTTGGTCATAGAAAGGAGATCTCTCTTGAGACCCTGTTGTTCAGCAATTCAACATATGTCTAGGGCTGTCATAGCTACAGGTTCCCCAAATTGGGGTACGCAGACCCAGACTCGCCGAACCTCCGCCCTACCAGTTTTGTCTTGACACATGAACTTGGCGAAGGAATGTGATATGAGCCAGACGATCTTCCGGAGACTGAGTCTCCGATATTATCAAGTGACCTTGAAAACCAGGGATGGCACAGACGCAAGATCTGTTACTGATTCTCAACATCACCAAATTCTTGGCACATCATCAATACCCCGATTAGGGCACTGTTTGGACCGATGATTAGTAAACCTCTATTATGTCGTGATGGACATGTGTTTTAGTTTATCTAAACTAGTCTACCATACCTACATATCAAAAGAACAGTAATATATCCCATAGAAATACACATCCCGCCATTCCAGTCGCCTCACGATATATCTTAATCAAACATGGCACCACAAGTGATTCCATATAAGGGGATTCCCTACTTCACACCCGCCAACAATGGCGGGGCAGCCAAAGACCCCAGGAATCCCGATACCCCCACTCTATTCCGCCCCCTCAAAGATCCGGGGTCTCATATTGAAGAACCGGATCATGGTCGCGCCTATGTGCATGTACTCAGCACAATCCGACCCGTCCTCTCCCTTCGTCGGTGCCCTAACCAACTACCATATCGCTCACCTCGGCCACCTAGCCCTGAAAGGCGCAGGGCTGATTATTATCGAGGCAACCGCTGTCCAGCCCAATGGCCGGATCTCCCCTAACGACAGCGGGCTCTGGCAGGAGGGTACTGAGTCGGAGCAATTCCAGGGACTAAAACGCGTTGTAGATTTTGTTCACAGCCAGGGAGCCAAAATCGCTATTCAACTCGCTCATGCGGGTCGGAAGGCCAGCACTACGGCGCCCTGGGTTGCAAAAGAGGCAGGAAAGCGCAGTCTGCGGGTCGAGGAAAGTGTCGGTGGATGGCCCGACAATGTTGTAGGTCCGTCTGGAGGTGCTGAGCACATATGGGCTCCGGGAGATGGATTCTGGGCCCCGCGAGAGCTTAGTACCGCCGAGGTAGAGGAGCTCGTGGGGGGCATTCGCCAAGAGCGCTAAGCTGTCTGTCCTGGCTGGAGTGGATGCGATCGAGATCCATGGAGCCCATGGCTATTTGATCAGCCAGTTTCTGAGCCCCGTTACCAACCAGCGGACCGATAAATACGGTGGTGGCTCATTTGAAAATCGGACACGGATTCTGCGCGAAATTGCTGCGGCCATTCGGGCCGTGATTCCTGCTGATATGCCTCTATTTCTGCGGATTAGTGCTACGGAATGGCTTGATGGCAAAGTTCCTGAGTTTTGGGATCTGCCTTCATCAATTGCACTTGCTAAATTGCTTCCTGAGTTGGGGATTGATTTTCTTGATGTGAGCTCCGGCGGTAATCACAAGGACCAGGTTATCGAACCGCATACCCACTATCAGATTGACCTTGCCAGCAAGATCCGAAAGGAAATTCGACAGGCTGGACAAAGCACACTGGTTGGAGCCGTCGGGCTGATTACGCAGCTGACAGGCTCACAACCAGAGGCTGACGCTGTGCTGCTAGGACGTCAATTTCTTCGAGAAGCAGATTGGGTTATCAATGCAGCGAAGAAGTTGGGGGTCTCTTTTACAGCACCTTGGCAGCTTGGCCGCGCCGTTTAAAGTAATATAGCGGAGGGAACAATCCTTCATAACGAAGGTTGATAGAAAGCTTGGAATATCAGGGACTACTGCCGTTATCCAGAGATTAGCTTGTTTATGACATTTATTCTCAGTTCCAACTTATGGTACATTGACTCCCTGAAATCTCCATGCTTGCTATTTTAGTCTTTTTCCCCTTTGGCCTTGTTACTCTTCACAACCCAGAGCTTACCGAGATGTATCTTGTCCAAGTAGTTCTGAGCAAGTATTGTTCTCGAGAGAAGGACAAAAATAAAACACAAATACGCCATAGCAAGGGTACTCTAAGGCTCACTCACTCAATAAGCAACCAGACAAGTGTGTGTTAGGGAAATATGTTACCAAGTAAGAGGCATGAATGACCCCTTCGGAACCGAGGAACAAGCTATCCAAATGGCTAACGAATCAGACGTTGGGCTGGCGGCATATTTCTACACGGAGGACATTTCCCGTGTATTTCGAGTGAGCGAGGCACTTCAGGTGGGCATGGTGGGTGCTCGCACTGGGCTCGTCAGCGCGGCGGAGCAACCGTTCGGAGGAATCCAAGAGAGTGGACTGGGTCGGGGAAGGTGGAATCGCAGCTCTTGAAGAATATTTGGATATCAAGAGCATCACAATCGGTATCTGAGGGAGATTTAACCGGCATTGAGTAGTATTGATTCCAATCACGGTTGTATTTTCTATCGCGCTTCTAGAAGCCTGGCTCTTATGAGTCCCTTTTGACTGTCTAAGTTCAAAGTAATAGTATATACTAGTCTGCTTCGATTCACCCTATAATACTCGAATAGATGCCATGGCCTTCTGTAACTCGAACCTGCTCCATAAACGCTTTAGAATACAAAGAGTTCAGAATAAGCCGGGTATCATCCTCCACCGCACCATCCGCTTATACTCCTCCCACTGTGACCCATACTTAGCTGAGCATCGCTTCTCATCACGATGGCACCTATGGACCAGCAGTACAGTCATGTAAATAAAATACATATATGGTAGAACATGCGACCATCCACAGCACACGCATGTGCAGAAAGAGAAAACAATGTCACCAACATAGTTGGGATGGCGCACGATCCCCCAGCAACCTACCTCCCAGTTAGTCGTGCTTTTGAACAAGTCAAGTAAAGCATGTCATAGAGGGGAACTCTACATACCAGAGCACAGCAAAAATGTCTCATGGACTTTCCCCTTCGCTGTAGTATACTGAGCCCTGACAATGCGAGGCTTGCTGCCGGCAATCTGACAGTTGCTCTTCGTTTGTCGGAAATGATGTTTCTGGTGGTTGGCGAGACGAAATAGCACATAGCTCAAGACACCTATTATAAGGATTGCACTGAATGTTAATGAAGAGAGGTCAACTGGATGTAATGCCAAGTACTGAGCTTGCACAGTATAGATCATGGGTAACCAAACGGCAGTGCCCCAGGCTAGGGTGAAACCGAAGTGGTCATGGGCAATATCTATGGTCGCAAGGTACCTGAACGGGGACGTTAGAACTCAATGCGCTCAGTGCGTGTAGTAAGAGAACTTGCCAGTCCTCGTTAATAAAAAAGTCAACGACGTATATGGCATGGAGAATGATCACAATCAGCATCGAGTTAGAGATTGTGCCGTAACGGAGGTATTGTTGGGCCATGAAAGATAGGTCGCTGCTTGGGTGAGTCCACATTTCCTATATTATACCAATCGCAAGGGGAGCATTCCTACATCACCACCCATGAGTTCATTCCTAGACGGCCAACTTGGAACATCTTCAGATCCCAGTGCCGACCCAGTCGGGGATTCAGTTCAACTCCAACCATAAAATCATGAAAGATGGACCCTGAATTCGTTAGCCAAAAAATTCCCATTAAGCCCCATTCTCAAAACATCATATAGAAGACTATAATAAAGCCTATACACTCCGACGGGAATAGTATATACGAACCGCTAAACCTCCGGTCACTCTCAAAGGTCGGCCATATATAACCCTTCGCCACAGCCAGAGCTGGCACCGCCAGCCCATAGACGTTCGCTGCCGCTAACACCGCTGCCCAATTTTGAGCTAAGCTTGCCACTATCTCAGCACCTCCTATACAAGCGGCCAGGAAGACTGCACCAACTGTGATACCCCAGGACAACAGTCCGTTCATCCGGTAGGGCAGCGTATTGCCTCCCGGTGTTGGTGGCCCATAGACGGTCTTCCCTGGGAGAAGGGAGTACAACAGTGCCTGAAACATTATCCAGCTTGCATATGCCATCACATGGCCATGGGATATCTCAGGAAGATAGCGTTGAAAAAGGGTTGTCGGGGATGAGTGTACTAGTAGCTCAAACAAGCCCTGCCGTAAAGAGCCATCAAAATGCTCGAGGCAGACGCAAAGAAAGAGCACGAAAAGAGAGGTAACAATTACAAATAACAAACTGAGGAGGCCAGAAAAAGCAGAAACATGACTGCGACGACCCCAAAAACTGTTTCCTGTTTTCTGCTGTTTTCCATCGGCTTGTAAATAGAGATGTGGTTTGCTGCTGACCCTAGTCGCGGATAATGCTCGTTTTTGGAGCATCTTTAACCAAAAACAAACCAAAAAAAAAAAAAAAAAAAAAAGGGCTTCTTTTGCAGTCGAGTGTGAGCCACGTGGGGAAAGGTGTTGAAGGGAAATTAGAATTGATCAGCATAAATAACAAAACACGTCAAGCTGCGCTAGGCAAACTGATAACAGGTGAGGAAGAAATGGGTATATATCTCAAGCAAACTGGTTGTGTGTTGGCAAGATGGACGAGAGCTGGCCGCATTGACAATTTATCAATCTGATCTGTAGTATACGGTACGTAGATCAGTCATGCTGCCGATCTTACTTGTCAATCCTACCACCTTTAGAGAGTAGTATCCAATAACGTATCGATTAAATAGATGCAAGGGACCTGCATACATGTGGTGATCAGTGGTTGGTCAATGATCCCTAATTTCACGAGGGAACAATTTACCGATGCGAGGTCTCTTTAGCTAGCCACCTCTCTGCATTATCAAGATGCGCCATACATACCTCTGCACGATATCTGTAGTGCCGATGTGTATATAATAATATCCTTTTCGATCTCTAGATTACAAAACTCCACCTGCAAGTGATAGCTCACATGAACTATGCAAACTCCTTATTAAAGTAACAATCGAACCCTAACTTCAAGCATCTCTCTTATCATATGGCTAAAAGTCCTCTCGCATGCACTTACAGCGTTGAACTTCCACCGCCTAAACTCAATTAATAAACTATTAACAGACGAGGGATCCAAAGCGAAGTAACGAAGCAGGGGGTTCGAGTGTATTTATCTATATACTTACCTGGGAAAGGGGCATACGTGCTCCTTCATGAACGTTCAAGCGGCGGTGTGTCCTTTCACGTCTGTGCTAAGAGCAGGTGCCCACAGCACATTATATATGTTCCAATAGCTGTACTCCGGAAAATAGTTCCATATTAACTTTAAGATTCTTAGGCAGTGTGGGGTTTATTAGGTAGCCTAGAACAGTCCACTAAAGCTACTCAGTAAAGCAAGATTTTAATTGACGGACAGCCTTTGCAACCGCTGTTTTGCTGTTCCCTACTTTCTGTTATGATTTTCCCATTGTGTCTTGGCTCCCGTTCTCTAGTGATTTCCTCATATGATTGTCTTTCTCCATGCTGAGCAGCGCGGCAACACGGGCACTGACATCCCAGGGTTATTCGAGCAACCTGAAAACCAGGTATGTATATACATACTTGGAGATGTGCGCACATACCCATAACATAGGTGGTGCACCGTGGAGATACTATATGCTGCAAGAGGATCCCCGGTTCTGTGTCCCCAAGTTAAAACCCTGGCAGTAACATGCTCACTGGACCTTCCAGGTTGGCCTGAAAATCCACCCACTAGTATTCCTCGTCCACCCCCGGACGTCATGCCTCCTCCCGTCAACACTATGTTCCCCATCGTATGGCATTGGTGAGTACCCACACACACACACACACACACACTCGTGCGTCGTGGAGAGTGCGTCTAGCCGATAGTGATTCCGGTGTTCTTTGCTGTCTGACAAGGCAGACGCCAAAATCATAAGGTGTTGCACAAATTGTATCCGTTTTCCAGCCAAGCCGGACGTATATGTTACCCCTTGTGACTTGGGATCATTTTTCAACTCCTTCCGCTTCTAGTACATCCACATCCAACTCCTCCATTACCCCAAGTACGACCCCAAGGCTCTCCATGAACCCGTTTACAGCCACCCGCAGCATCCGGTTGGTGGTTGCACGGTAGGTAGTTTCGAGTACGGTCTTTGCCTCTTCGGTATCCGCTTGAATTTCCTTCGGCGTGGTTACCGCCATGTCGCGTCGGACGAAGGGGGAGAGTTCAGTGTCGACTTCAATGGCGCGAAGAGCGGATGTTGCAAGGCGGTTCGAGGGGAGGGGGAGAGAGATTGTCCTGTTGTGCATGATATATTAGACCTTCTGTGCGTAAATTGGAGTGAAGGAGGGGTATTGTGAGTGAACTTACAAGGTGTAGGGAAATTCGGTGTTCGTTGATTCAGTGGAGGCCATGATGCCGGATCGATTCTAGTTAGATTCGATGTCGGAGATGAAAAGAACAAAAAGACTAACGAAGTCAAATGTAGAGTATAAAACAGCAGACCACCGATAGCGTGCACCGAAGCAAAGAAATGGATGTGAATTCAATGGAAGCAAAAAGTGGGGTGTTTGGGACCTTGGATGAGTCAGCACCTTCAATCTCGACGCGGTCAAATATTAAAATTCAATTCCACATATTCCTAGGCAGGCTGATAATTAATAAGTCTTTTTGATTAAAGACATCAGTCTAGGAGTGATACTTAAGCCTACAAGCTTCTTATTCCAGCTTTTATTCAACACTGTCAATAGCCTAGTATAGCATGGAGCATCTTGCTTAACAACTCTATCTAGGGTAAACATGAACGAAGATATATATTTAGTGTCGAGGGCTCCATATTCCGTAGCGTCTACTTTCGTCTACCTAGTACATCGCTGCTACGCCAATTGAAGTGAAAAAAAAAAAAAAAAAAACACCAAGTGACCTCATCAAAATTTTTATCATATCTATGCCGAGAGTATGAAAGATCAGGGTGGCCAAATCGCGGGTGAATATTGAATGGGCATCGAAGTCGATATGTTCGCTAGCCATAACTGAAAGCCGAAATGAGGATTCTTCCGTTCTTCAAAAGGCATCATACGTGATGATCGATTGGTGTCTTCATGGATGTATCTGATTCAAGATATGGTATTATGAATTATGGACTAAAGCCTTCACTATACTGTATGTACAAAAATCTCCTCTCACTCCCTGTTGTCCATGCCGCCGTTCAGTCAGGTTCACAACATCGCTGTACTCTCATATTGCCGTTTTCCGTGGGTTTCCCCGGCAGGAGCTTCACTTCAACCGTTTTGCAGATAGGTTCCATGACATTCGTGAGAGAAAGCATAAATTCCTGAGTCTGTTTCTTTACAGAGCACCAAGGATGCTGTCGACCAGAGAGAGGTTGCCTAGGACGTGATTAGTAGAGCTTCAAGAGCTGCTTAAGATTGGACTTACCGGCCTGGATGGACTCAAGGATCTGCTCGACAGCAGCATCGGTGAGGGTTCCTAAAAATTACTCAGCTAACGCGATTTTCGTAACCTGAACAAGGGCAGTAGCTTACCGTCCTGAATCTGGCTGACCAGGTTCGTCGCAACGCCACCGAGCTGTCCAACCTGACGCTTAGCACCAAGGGCTATTATCCATATTAGTTATTGTAAATTCCAGGATTGAAAGCAATGCGTACCGCTGGTGATGCCGGGAAGGGTGCTGCCAACAGTACCCTCAACGGTGCCGACAGCTGAGTTGACAGTGCCAACCACAGGCTGGACGGCACCGCTAGCAGTGGAAACCACAGGGGAAGCAACACTGTTAACGGTGTCGACCTCATTGCCAACAACGCTGCGCTGGCAGACGGGACTGGTGAGCTTGCTCAGCTCGCTCTGGATCTCCTTGAGAGCTGATGACACTAGAGTTAGCTTCTATGCGAGGCAAAACATGACCAAAAGGTTCACAACACACCGTCCTGAACCTGAACAAGGTTAGAAACGTCCGCATCACCGAGGACGCCACCAAGGACACCGTCAATATTGACAAGGACACCAGAAAGTTGGTTTAAGGTGGGCTGGAGAGAAGCAGTAGGAATGGCAGCAGCGGAGGCAGCGCTGACAGCAGCAAGAGAGGCAATAAATCCGGTGAACTTCATTTTGGCGAGTTAAAATTGGTAATTTGATGAGAGATAAAGAATGACTTGTGTGTCTTTGACGTGGTGAAAGAGTGGACGCTGAAGAGCAGGCTTGGTAAAGGAATGACTGAATTGAGTGAGCTTGTCTGATGGGCAAAGAGAAGGTCCTGGAGCAGGGGACTCAAGCATGATTATATACTGCCTGTTCACTCCATGGATCAGGGGCTTGTTGCACAGGTACTTCAAATTGCGACTATCAGATTCCGTTAGTTTAATTTACGAACTTGTTGAATCAAATGATGATCGACGTGGATAGTCTTGCGTTCAACCTTTTTACTGCAGTCCCTTGTGTAAGCTGATTGGGTCCCCATGGGCAACAACGCCAGTAAACTTCGATGACGGGGGAAGGCGTCCAATTGGTGCAAAGGCCGTCCTTTTCTCCGCTGCGAGAAATACTAGACTCCTTGGCCAAGCACTAAGGATAGACTTCAAGGCACAAGATTGAGGTCATGATGGGTTGAACTATCAAGTGCCCGGCAATGAGTCCACAAGTCTTTTGCTCGACGATAATAACTTCAATAGTCCGACATCCATAGACGCCGGTAGAGTATTCAGTATTAATTTTTGGGTCTGTAACCCATTATTAACTGAAGTGGACTGTGACCAAAGCCCATTTCCAATAGATAGTAAGTCCCATCTTCAACCACACTGTCTCAGCCCTGATTAACCTACAGAGGCGTGACTGTTGCGCACGAGAGCACCTATCAGTAGCCGTCAGTTCGTAGAAAAAAAAACGAGCACATACCCCGGATCCAATTAAACGTCACTCAAGCCTAATAACTCAAACCTTAACCGTTGGTAGTCGTGTCTTAGCTGGAAGATCGTCGTTTCTTTGCCGTCGCCACTGCTCGCGAGTTGGCGTCCTACCAGGCCACAAACATGGCATTCATTTCACTTGTGGCTTGTCGGAGAATTAGGGGCAATTCTTTAATTTTCACAAATACTCTGCTCGTGTTGAACTTGGGTTCGAGGTCGAGCAGTGAACCACACTTGATTATACTCTGCACTCCGTTCATCGAATGGTCTACATAGGGTAGCGGGACAACGTTACTTCTAACATACAGCAAATTGGTAATCCCCCGCCCCTGCCGATCAGATCCACTTATCAGTTTTCATGGAACGGCAAATTCTACACAGTAAGCAATCCAGTGCGCAGTGGTTACCAAATTGCGTCTTTTTTACCCTCCACTGATCATCGCTCGTGTGAAGCTCGAATTTCGGTCATTGCCCGCAGATTACCTTCCCATTCTGGGTGGACCCACTATTTTTAAGTATTCTTCAGGGTGGAAATGCTTGACAGACACGAGGGAGACAATACGGAGTATATTCTCCTGAAAGCATTCCTTGGGTCAAACCAAATATTCTGTTCGTACTATCGGAACTTTACAAACGTAGTACTACCGTGACAGTGAAATTGCTATTGCCACATTTTCGAGCACCGACTGCTCCACCTACACGTATATACTGTAAAAATATATACGTAATGAACTCGCGATTCAAGATATCCAAGGACCAGAGGCGCTATATAACCTGATCCATTTCACAATACACTTAAAAGGGTACAAGTAATGTAGTACTGTCGGGTATAGCCTCTTTCATGACATGGGGATGGGCAGGATATATCAAATGACTAGCCCGAAGGCGAATACCTTAGGTTACAATTTCCAACTCAAGATAGAGAGGAAAATTCACAATATGCCCGTTAAATTTCCGGCGAACCAAAAAGACTATTAGTCTGGAACGTATTGCTCGTTCACTATCGCCCTGACAGGGCTGTTCTGTTGTCTTGAGTTAGAACGCTCCGTGGAGGAAAGCCCCTTTCATGGTTCGATAGGGTCAGTTTTTAACTTATAATGGGCTCCCCCTACTTGTGGTTGATGTAAATTTTCAAATGGTCCATAAAAACGTAACCATGAAGAGGGCAGACGAAAACTAGAAATCGCAAGTCACCATGCTCAGGGAAGGAAAAATAAAAAAGTCACGATGCAGAGGCGCCCACAGAACGTGGATGTTTTCGATAGCAAGGATGAGTGAGGGCTTGGGGCTTGGAGCTTGTGGCGTACACACAACAAACAAAATCATTCGTATGTGGTGACACCTCTCAACAACAAAACACTGAGGGGAAGGAACATGGGGGGGAACTTGGGCGATGGCTGACGTTTGTGTTGTTTGTCTGAGTGGGGGTGGTTGACTGGTGGCTTACATAAGGCATTGTTTTGACAGTTGTGGCGTTCGCCTGAGGCAACAACCGTTGTCGTGTCAACGGCCGACGCTAAACTGCTCTGGGGCCATCACAACATAACAGCGGCCACTAAGCGTGCATCGCATTTCCTTAAACGGTCTCATCGGCCTCGAGGTCTTCTCTCGTGCGGCAGTTCATCACCTTTTTCTCCTCTTCAGCTCCATCCTTCCCCCCTCTCTCTACCCCCCATCAAGAGCTCCTTTATAGGTCTCCTCGATCCCCCGATCCTACTCAGGCCGTATTGCCTGTATCCTTACTCTATCCACGCCCCGTGGTTTATCAATATTCTTTGTCTATCCCGAGTGGCAACAGTCCGGATCATGATCGTTTAGCTTAGATCACTTGTTTTGATTTATCGACTCGGTTGACCAGGCCACGATTATCTTGCAATTGCAGGAGAGTTTCCCTTTAGAGACGCCTTACTTTCTGTTCGCCCCCTATTGATTGTTTATTGCCCATATTGTTGTTAGCCATTTGTTTTGGTAACGCATTGTTGTTTACAAAATGGCCGGAAACATTGGTGATTACGGCCAGATTATTGAGTATATTCAAGGTAAGTGCGATTGCCTGTGTCTATCATATTTAGAACGACTTCTTGCAATGATCAAAACATCCAATGCTGGAGATCAAAACCCGCATGCTAACTGCCTGACAAACAGATCGTCTTTACTTGGCTTCCTATGATGATGCACCGGATGCGAGAACTCCGTTTCCATATCCTTCCGAGCAACCTAAGTCTCCAAGCAAGCGCTCCGCGAGAGCTCAGCCGAACACCCCCAGTAGGAAGAGGCGAAGCCCCGTGTATTTCACAGTCGATGATACCTTGCTTTACAACTCTTTCCATGCAGACTTTGGTCCGCTCCACATAGGTCACCTCTACCGGTTTGCGGTCCATTTCCATGAGATCCTGGGCGACCCTGCCAATGGCGACCGCCCAGTGGTGTTCTACTCGAAGCCGGACGCTCGGAGTCGTGCCAATGCGGCATGTCTTGTTGCTTGCTACATGGTCCTCATTCAATCGTGGCCGCCTCATTTGGCCCTCGCTCCGATTGCACAGGCTGATCCTCCTTATATGCCATTCCGAGATGCCGGGTACAGTCAGGCAGATTTCACTTTGACTATCCAAGATGTGGTTTATGGAGTATGGAAAGCAAAGGAGCAGACACTGTGTGGCTTGAGGGAGTTCAGTCTTGAAGAGTATGTTTCGTTTGACCACAGTATAAGAAGCTTTATTGACAAAGCACCAGGTATGAGAAATACGAACGTGTCGACATGGGTGACTTCAACTGGATAACACCTCACTTCTTGGCCTTTGCTTCGCCTCAGCACGAACCGATTGCCCCGATCCCTCCTAATACCCCCGAATACGCCGCATTGCCTTCAACAGTGTCCCAAGTCCAAGCATCCAAATTACCTCTTCCTTTCAAAAATGTGCTGGCCCATTTCGCGTCACGAGACATAGGACTAGTTGTGCGATTGAATTCGGAATTATACTCGCCTTCATACTTCACGGCCTTGGGCATTACTCACATCGATATGATCTTTGAAGACGGTACTTGTCCTCCTCTGCCATTGGTCCGACGATTTATCAAAATGGCCCATGATATGATCACGGTGAAGAAGAAGGGAATTGCCGTCCACTGCAAAGCTGGCCTTGGCCGGACGGGCTGTCTGATTGGTGCATATCTTATCTACCGATATGGATTTACTGCCAATGAGATCATCGCGTTCATGAGGTTCATGCGACCCGGTATGGTGGTCGGCCCACAACAACACTGGCTGCATTTGAACCAAGGCGCATTCCGTGAATGGTGGTTTGAGGATAGCATGAAGGAGAAGTTGGCCCAAATGCAGACAGCTCCGGTCACACCCGGCCGTCCATCCACCAAGCAGCGTGCGAACAACGGCCCTGTCGCTACACCTCCAAATAACGGTCATTCGAAGCGCGCTGCACTGGGTGAAATAGATCACAATGAGGCTGCCGGAACACAGCACGACGAGAATCTCCCGGCCCCAACACCTGGTCAGCCTAGGAAATCGCACAGGAAAGACTCCCGCCACCACCCCTACGCCCGGACGACATCTGGCAGCATAGTAGTTGACAAGGATGCGAAAGCTAGAGAACACTCAGCGCACAGAAGCCAGCGGCTTAGCAGCGACAGCAGTGAGAGTGAAGAGGAGATTCAACTTCGCATGCTTGCAAAGCGTTCATCGAAGTCACCAGTGGCATCCCCAAGCCCGCGGTCTGTTAGCTATTCGGCAACATTGACCACTAGCTACACATTGAATGATGGCATTCATGAGGATAGAGAAAACTGGGGCGACGCTGCATATGCTGCACCGAAGACTCCAATGAGCTCTAAAACTGGGGTATCCGTTGCCAAGGTCCGCACCAGCCCTCGGCGTGTTACAGACAGCCGGAGCGAGACCAGAGGCGTCCGCAAGGCTAGTGGCCGAGTCGGCAGTGCCGGCAGCCCGACTCGTGTGAAATAAGTAACACTGCAGTCTTTTTTTGTCTTCCTTACCCCTTCAAGATATCCTTCTTCTGTTACATTTTATTTGACTCATCTTACTTTGAGTCCAGTGTATTGCTTCTGCTGGACTATAATAGTGCATATTGCATGTGCCTCCTACTACCCATTCGCATATTCATTATTCTTCTTTCCTTGTTCATGTGTTTCAGGTCTTTGATGATCCTCGGCTTGTGGGTGTCTTCTGGTTTTCTGGTTTAAAATCGATGGGTCTGGGTCTGTGTTTCGGCGTCCGGGGGTATTCTGATGTTGGAGGATTTAGAAGTTGGTATTGATGTGGAATCTTGTGGCTAGCACCAGTGCCTATACACTTGCATTGTTCTTTCGCAAGCGTGGACAGCAGTATCTTGTCTGATTGCATTGTATGTCTCTGTACGTATACGACCTACGTCGGCATGACAAATTCAGTTGATGACGATTCCAACCGTCGAGAAGTAGTAGTGTACGATAGTTGGTAGCTGTGTTGCCATGAGAAAACACACAAGTAAGCCCTAATACGGGTGCCATACTTTGAACTAGGGTGCAACTACCTCGGATGTCAAAGCAAACTTGTTCTTCTAGCTCCAAGGTTATATAAAACGGGCCATAGAGGCAGGTATCGGATAAACGGTGCAGTGTATGAAGTGCGACTTAGTTTGTGATGGTTTTCAATCAGGCCAGACTCTACGCTACCACTTGGTCCTCCAAATGCGCCGTTATCAAACTCAAATATTCCCGTGCACGAGGCGTGGAATCCTCAATTCCTGGAACCTTAGCAGCATCGTCCCAAAGCCGCAGCGCGACCATCTCATCACGCAGCGGATCCTGGTCAAAAGCAGAGAGCTCTGCTCCTTTAAACGGACCCCCCTGAAACTCGAGCGATTTCTTAGAAGCCGATGACAGGGAATCATAATACGAGTTATTGACCGCCGTGAGGTATCTGCCCATTGTATCTTAGTTCCTCACGCATACGCATACATACAAAGAAGCCCTAACAACAACCCGAGAGAACAAGGTATGGAGTAGTGGGGGCGGGGGGAGTTTGGGGATAGGATACCTTTTTGCCGCAACATGACTTTCAACTAATTGACATACACTCGGGTTAAATCCCAGAGAGCGCAAGAATTCCGACCCGATTCTCTCATGGCCTACGCGACCCACGTTTTCGGCGCTGTTGTTTAAATTCATCCTTACTTCTTTGGTGGATTCAAGGGGTATGATTTGGCCGATGTCGTGGAGGAGAGCTGCGATTATGAGCTCGTTTCTTGCCCCTGGCGCCCGTGGAGTGTTAGTCGGTTGATTAATTAATTAATTGATTGATTGATTGATGGTTTGGTTGGCTGGTTGGTGATCTAACTGACCGGATTTCTGTGCATTGTGGGCTGCTTGGAGACAGTGTTCTAGTTGGCTGATTGATTCGCCTATGTAGTCGCCTTGGCCGTGTTGTTCGAGTGAACTGACTAGGTATTCTGCCTTTTCTTTGGGTGATTGAGTGGCCATTTTGAGGATTTTGAGAAGGGAATGTTTGTTCTGGGAAATTGAGGGTAAAGTTGGAGAAGGGTTGGGAGAACCGTGAGAAGGAGGGGATGATCGCTTTAAATAGTCGGAGATGACAAAAGTTAACCCCACGTGTGGCATTGATCTATTCCGTGGAAAAGGAACACTATATACTGGATTTTCTTTCTTCTGGCTTAATTGGTTTGATCTGGGCATGGGTAATATTATTTCTTCACTTGTGGTGGGAGGATTCAGAAAGCATCGGATGAATTCCACGACTTTAATACCGTCGCTCAAAAATAGTATTTAGACTGTTATCCTCCCTAGCTTGTCCCCTGGCCTTATTTATAACTTCAAGATTATTTACACTATTATCACCCCAACTAAATTGCACAAGTACGAGGTTTATTTTATTTTATTTTATTTTTTTTTAATCTACGCTACCGGTTGTGGTTGGCCTTCAATAGTCAGCATTGGAGAGCCATATCCATACCGAAGTCGTCCCTCTTCGTACTTTTCTCCTTCCTTCCGCATGTGGGTAGCGGGCCAGAGCTTCCTCCGGTCTTCATAGTACGAATCGTGGAGATCGCCCTCAGCCTTGCAGTTATAAGTGGCATATATCGCCCGACGGTCTTTAGAGCTCGTATTAGCACCACTGCGATGGGCAAGATAGGATCCGAACACCATAATGTCACCTGGGCTGCGTTAATAGATGTCTCGACTTGACATATAGGTACCATTGGTAGCACTAACCTGGCTGAAGGGTGCAAGATGTCCACTTTTGGCTTTCGACCCAAGCAGGATCTATACAACGATCTTCTCCCAGTTTGATCTCGGTACGATGACTGCCATCTACAACGTCCAAACCACCATTTTCGGGGGTCATATCGTCCACTGCAGCGAGGACAGTCAAATGCTTGATGTTCTTGACATGGGTATAGGCGTTGGCATCGATGTGAGGAGAAAAGCCACCTGAGTGGGTGCGTTAACGATTAACCTCGGGTGCCAAAGGGGCTCTGAGAGCTACGTAGGTCTCGACACGTACCACTTCCTGCGAGTTTGTAGTTGATCTTCTCTTTGAAGAGTAGCATTGGCTCGGTAGCCAGCTGTTCGAGAACACTCAACATGCGTTGGCCCCGCAGAAAGCTGTTAAAGCCAGCATGGCTATTGGCGTAGTTCTCTGTGCGACAGAGGACTCGTTTGCCTTGTGCATTTACTTCCTATCCTCCTCCCTTAGTCCTGCGCTTTTTGTGTTTCGTTGTTCGCTTTAAGAGATAGCTCACCTCGTATGGCATATATGAAGCGTCTGGAGTGCGGGGCAGGTCATGGACTTCCTGAGTCCACTGCTGGAGAAGCTTGGTTTCCGGAGCGTTGAAGAACCCCTGGATCACCAAGTAGCCCTTTTCATTATAGGATTGAATTTGATCCTCAGTCAAAGGGAAGTAGTTGTTCTCCATGGTGTAGATAAGTCAAGCTCTGGTCGGACAATTTATTTTCTCTTTTGTGTCAGATAGAGGAGAGGCACATGATATTTTCCCTGAAAGCGATTGGGATCACCAACTAAATAAGTCCTGCAGTATGCCACTACCTCCCAAGCAGGCTACTAATGCCGGGTCTAAAATTGGTATCGTGACACATCGTAGGATAATAGTTTACGAGAGCAGAGCGGGGAATGTTACAGCGTTGGGAGATGGGATTGCGTACAGATGGAGAGATCATCGTTGAATATCAAGGACTGGAGGGAACTGTTGCATTGTATTACTACATTGAATCAGCCAGTGATAACACTTAGAAGTGTCCATGTGCCTCGAACGACAGGATGACGGTTGGTTATGGGACCCTTCGCTTAGACGTTAGTGTCGCGGTAGTTGCCGACACCTTGAGACACCTCTGCCGCCTCCACTCCCCAGGCACCAAGGCACGTGCCCCTCTTGTCGTCCTTCTACATGTCAATCTTGACTGACTTCCTCCAGAGTTGCATATCTAGACTTTTCAACATAGACCACAACCGGTGGAAACTCAATTGATGTCTATCAAGGTCACGACAATATGCATGCCCGTGCAATACCTAAACCCCCTGATTGGCCAAAGAAAGGGCATTTCCATTCCGATCGTTTGATCCTCCATATGCAGGGTTCTCCATCAATGTCGATGTTATATAGAAGATTGTTCGACGTGGAATAAAATGGCTGGGAAAGTTTCTGTGTTCTTTTGTTGTCGTCTTCCCCCTGCATTGACGGCACGATAAACGGCCTCACCGCGTCAATCAATTCCCACCATGGCCTCGGTAGAAAGTTCTCCGGCCGATTCTTCAATGATCAAGGATGCCGATGTCACAGTGAGCAATTGGGCAGGCTTACAAGGACGAGAAAACACAATTGAGAGCAGCGAGGATGTCGAAGTTGGTCAATCAAGCAAAAGTTCCGGGGTTCTGAATGTGATCATCTCGGGTCTGGCTCTCTTTAGCGACGGATATAATGCCCAGATCAGTAAGTACACTACCACCAAAGCCTGATCAAAAATAATTTACTGATCGATGGCACCTCTTGAATCTTACAGTTGGATATATGGAACCCTTGTTCTCGGTCTTGTTTGTACCCCTTTATACAAGCTATACAAGCTACAAAAGCTACACAAGCTTTGCAGCCAAGATGTCTCCCGCTGACTAGTTTCTTGGTATACGGTAGATACAAAGATGGCATGTCTCCAACAATCAAAGGTCGACTATCGAACTCGTTTCTCATAGGAGAAATCTTTGGAATGATCTTCTTTGGTGTTCTCATTGATCGCCTGGGGCGAAGAACGGGTGTGGTAATGGCCACTACGTTCTTAGTTCTGGGTATTGCATTGGCAGCAGCTGCGCACGGGAAGTCCGAGCTTGGGTAAGTGCCCACTTTTCCACGCCTTTCTAGCATGTTGAAGTCACTGCTTACAGGTATTTAGAATGTTCTGGATGATGATCATTGCCCGTGGTGTGGCTGGCTTTGGAGCCGGCGGCGAGTATCCCGTTTGCGCAACGAGCGCAACGGAGGCAGCGGACGAGACAACGAAACTTCGGAAAAACCGAGGGTTCTTGGTTGCCTCAACTACAAATTTTGCCGTGGACCTGGTATGCAGAAATACTACTTATAGCACGAAGGAAGTACTAACACATGGCCGTAGGGCTTTGTCTCTGCTGGCATTGTAGCGCTTATTGTTCTCGCTTGCTATGGTCAAGAGACTAGAGCTGGCGTATGGCGTGTATCCTTTGGGATTGGATTTGTGGTACGTCACTTCGATACGCTTCTCTTTTTACTACGAAATGCTCACATAAATTAATAGCTTCCCCTTGTTATCTGCTTCTTTCGGATTCGCATGATCAATTCGACTCAGTACCGGAAACACAGCATTAGATCTAGGTATCCCTATGGGCTTATTCTCAAAAGATATTGGAAGCCGATGCTCGGAACTTGTGAGTCCCCACATCACTCGATTATCTGTTCAAGCGTTGACTTTGTAGCCCTGGCGTGGTTCTGCTACGACTTCGTCACCTACCCGTTCGGAATCTTCTCGTCCACCATTATCCAGCAATTGATGACAGACAACTCGACTGTCCAAAACATCGGTTATGGAGTGAGTCTCCCTATCTGTAGCATATACATTGAACTAGTAACTCATAATCATGACCTTCCAGACAGTGATTAACTGCTTCTATCTCCCCGGATGTCTTCTTGGCGGGTACCTCATGGACAAAATTGGTCGCAAGCAAAACATGACTCTTGGTTTTATGCTATGGGCCATCTGGGGCTTCATCCTTGGCGGTGCGCTTCACCCGATCCAAAGCGTGTTCCCGCTGTTCGTGGTGATGTACGGCATTTTCATGGCCTTGGGTGAAATGGGCCCCGGTGTATCTACGTTTCTTTGTGCTGCCGAGTCCTTTCCCACCCCTCTCCGTGGCCACTTTCTGGGATTTGCTGCCGCCGTGGGCAAGGCTGGTGCGTCTATTGGAACGGAAGTTTTTACTCCCATTCAGAACTCGTTCGATACCACTGCAAAGGGCCAGCAAGCGGTGTTTTTGATTGCCTCTGCTTTTACGGTGGTCGGGGGCCTCATCGCATGGTTCCTGATTCCGGATATGTCTCGAGAGTTGGAGGATGAGGATGCCAAGTTCAAGGCATACTTAGAGGAGAACGGATATGACGTTAGCCACTATGGCGACGAGGCCTTGCAGGTAGAGAGGAAGAGTGGTCATTAATTTGATCATATATAAAAGTCATTAGATTAGCATGCGAATACACCGTTTAGATTTCCTCACAAGTTTAAAGTGATACCAGCTTTTAGGGCACTGCAATGACGCTGTACCCGAATGGGAGGCACTGATCTAACTATTTCCAGTTAGGTTTATTAATTGGCTTCCTTTTATCGGAGACCACCTCGGACTTCACATGAATCAATCCCGAAATCGCAGAGGATCCTTATCATTAAAAGAACAGCGGAATAACAACAGGCGCATGAAGAATAAGCGCAATTAATCTCATCGGTGTCTCGTGGATGGTTCTCGGTGGAGATATCAAATGGCGGAGCGACCGACTCGAGGCCCCGCAGTTCGCCGCAATGGCACACTCCAGTCTTGTGAACCGTGTCGCAAAGCAAAACTGCGGTGCGATCATGCAAGACCAGTCTGTGGTAGATGTACCACAAAAAAGATCACTGCCAAATGTTTCTACCATCCTGCTCCAATGACAAAGGGGGTGGCCTCAAATCGGACCAGTCCGATCAAAGCGTCGAGGGGTTTAACTAGTGTAACTAGTCAACCGGGATCGAAGTAAGAGCTCCCATTTCCAGCCATATTCCGAGAATTGAGAAAGCCACCGAGCGCATATTGACTCGTTTACAGTATCTCGAGTCCATCATTGACGATGGAAAGTATCCGACTCGGCGCAAACCTAGAGCCAACCCCCGAGCTTCCTGGCTATCTAGGGGCGACCAGTTACTCGGCCATCCTCACGGAGCATCGCAGTGATCTACCGTTTGAGATAGATAATAGTACGGTGACAGGCACCCCTGTTAGGGCTGTTGACCCAGACCGTCTTAGGGCTGGAGTAGAGCTGTTGAAACTTATTTATGACTTGCCGATCTATGATGTTTTGGTCCGAAAACTCTACTCCAAGAAAGCAATGGTTGTAGTTCCGATGGTTATTATTGACGCTATCATAGAGTCTCTCCGGAGTACCTTTGACAATCTGGTCATTGGAAGCGATATTGAAGCCCAGTTCCAGGCTTTGGTCTATCAGATATCTCAGAATACTTCAAGGCCACTAATCACGCATAGCTCGATGAGTGTCCATGAGTATTGTGCTTCATTCACGGGTAAGAACCTTCGATGGGAGTCTCTCGGGATCGTTCTGTCCATCTCTGGGATATCCTTGATGTCTACCTCGGACAATGACCCGGACCTTGTCCAAGTCGCGCCGAGCAGTGAAGCTCGTGAGAGACTGCGCGCTCAGATTGTGGAGGCAAGCAGCATCTGTCTCAACTTCTGTGACCAGGCATCTTCAATCAACGAATTACTAGGCTTTACTCAGTATAACGATGTCATGTTGAAAACTCAGCATTTTGGCGACACAAGTATGCTCACCTCTTCTCCGATTGAAGCAGGGCAACGCTAATAATGATGGAATTAGGCTATCAAGCCTGGCGCCGGCTGGGCGACTTGTCAGCTACAGTATATGCCGCTGGCTTTCATCAAGAGAACTCGCAGGTTGACGATTGCCCATTCTTTCTTCGACAGTGGAGGAGGATATGCTTCGCTGCTGCCTTCTATGCGGATAAGGCGATAGCCACCTTCGTGGGGCGACCGCCATTTATAAACTATCGGTACTGCTCGCTGACGCCTCCCATGGACATACAAGAGGATCTACTAGTGGCAGGGGGTGAAGAGCTCACTAGTGCCATTTCAAGCCTAAATATGGACGGCTGGAACACCCAACGGCAAAACTACAGGGCGAGCATGATACGTCTTCGGTTCATCTTTTCTGTGTATAGGGACCAAGCTCTCGAGATAGCATTGGGAACATGCGATGATTGGGACCTGGTCCAAAAGTCCAAGTGAGAGAGGAACCCTATGTGAATTCGGCACAACGAAGTCATTGTCCGCTAATCGAGCATAGCCAAATTATCGAGAAAGCGCGAGCCACGTTGGAAGCTGCACCAGCTTTCATTCGATACGACGTCCATGGCCAGAACGAGGATGTGGAATCATACGCTTCGGCTTTTCCCAGTCTCCATTTGTATCTCGATTACCTCTACACGATATTCCTCCTGCAGAGGGTCCTGGTGAAACGCACGAGTACAGGGCAAGAAGCGTTGATCCACACATCGCGGGAGGCCCTATCAATCGTTATCAGGATAGGCTCCGAATGTGAGACATCCATGGACTTGAACAGACACTATTCCTGGCTGGTATGCTTAGATCGCCCACCTCACAAGATCCTCTCCTAGATGCTAATTTCCACACCTTAGATATTGTACTACGGAGTGCCCAGTGCCAGTGTTCTGACCCTTGAACTTCTTCATCAAACCCAAGAAATCGGCCCGCACTCTGTCATGTTGCCTCGCGCGGAGATCATTCGCAATCTAAGTGTATTTCTATCATGTCTGTCGTGGGTTCCGCGTCCAACATATGGTAACTACCAGACCTGCAAGGAAGCCGAGAAGAAACTGTCCCATATTCTGGACCAGATCATTGACCCACAGCCTATCCAGCGCGATGTCTTCAACGATGTGACCTCTGGCCTGGACAGCTTCCTGGATTGGTATAATCCGAGTAACTGGGACTTCAGCACTGATTTCCTGTCTTCCACCGACGGCTTTGGTCTTGCAAAGAACTAGTTGGACTCGGAGCTCATTCGCTAGGGTATCACATTTCAGCGTCGGTAATTGGAGGAGAGTCGCAACTACCTGAGACCATTGTATAGTAATCTCGGCAACGAGACCATGCGGTAAACAAAGAGTAAGAAAAGACAACAGCCATCCGATCAAAACCGAGCCAACCTAAAACATCTCGACCTACCCGAAACGCCGCATAATAAGAACAAGCAAAGTTAAAGAGCACGAGCATCAACAGACATCAATCATACCATCCATACAAAGTCATTACTCGGATGCGTTTCCTGAAAATAGTACGCTCTGTGACAGAGCGGACAATTGAAATGGTCCTGCAGATACCATTTCTCCAGACATTCCTTGTGGAAGACGTGCAGACACTTGAGCTCCCGGATCTCCTGAGACGGTAGAACAGATTCAAGGCAAACAACGCTGTAACGGGCCGGGTGGGTTAGCTGGCTGGGTTTCTTTCTTTTGACAATGGCGTTCGGGAGCAAGAAAATCTCGGCCGAAGCGACAAAGCGACGACAACACGGGCCGTGCGACTTACCACACAAATTGACCATCAACTCCCTCGGTGGGTAAAAGGGGCCCTTTCGATTTCGAACGCCATTCTTCTAGAGTTCGAGCCGGAGACACGGCATCCAATTTGCGCAGCTTGTCGCTCGATCCCTTCTTCTTCTTCTTGCTTTTTGAGCAGGGACGCTGGTCACGGCGGTTCACAAAGATGGTAAATCTAGAATAATGCCAGCGATGAGTTTTGGGGTTGCACATAATATCGGGATGCAAGAGATACAAGGATGATAGCCTCAAAATCAAAAAAA